CATTTAACAAACTCTACTCTGTCAACTTGTCATTCAACAAACTCTGCACTATAAACTTGACATTTAACAAACTCTATACTGTCAATTTGTCATTCAACAAACTCTACACTACAAACTTGACATTTAACAAACTCTACACTGCCAACTTGTCATTCAACAAACTCTATAAACTTGACATTTAACAAACTCTACACTGTCAATTTGTCATTCAACAAACTTTATAAATTTGATTTCATACTTCTAAAAATCCTTTTAAAGGGTCAACTGATTAGAGAGTGGAATTAAAAGTAAGAAAATGGAAAGCATGTTAAAGAGACATAACAATAGCAAATGTTAACTTTGGAATGGATTGCATTACTGAAAGACTATAACCACAATTTAAAATACTAAAAAAAGATAACATTAAAAAATAACAACTACTACAAACTAAAACAAACAAATGTAACATTAAATCAAATACTATAATTACTTAAAAATATGGCAGAAAATCACTTCCTGTTATTAAACTTTATCAAATCATTTAAATTTTTGTTGTAATATACTACTTCAATGGAATTAAGTGATGTTTGCATAATTTCAGTCAAAGCAACTTCTTTTCCCTCTTCCCAATAACTAACTAATTTTTGAAGTATTTCAATCCTTCTTTCAAAATGAACATTTGCAACTTCTGATGTCAGATTTGCAAGTTTCATGGAAGAACACATGGCTTTTTTAAACTTTTGATGTTGTGTTAATGTTTTCTTATTTTTTGTAGATTCTGTTATTGTAGTTGTCAATATAGCACAGGATTCTTTGTTAGTTTTTTTAAAAAAACAACTACTTTTTTTATAATGTTCAACAGACCAGCGAGCGTCGAATATAGATTCTCATCAAATAAAGGTAGTTCAAGTACTTTCTGGAGATAAAAAATATGTTTGCAAGGTAAGCACATAGATAAATGAAACAAACAGTTGCAAGTATCAGCTGAAACTACTATTTTCCCATCAGCAAAATTATATTCCTCATTTTCATTACATAAAAGTTCTTTGCTGGCAGCAAGCTGCTTACACACAAAGTCTGCAGCATATGTTGTTAAAAAAAAGCAGTATTGAACCTCTAAAGATCCAGGTGGAAATACAGCTACTCTTCTTTTTAGGATAGTATTTGCAGTTGTATGGTCTTTTTCTGTACGAATTGCAGTAAGTATTACATAAAATTTATCTAAAAATTCTTCTAATGAACTATATCTAGTGATAACTGATTTAAGCTTTGCATTTAAACTTTCTAACCTGTTGTTCGTGGTATTAAAAAAATTTCCAGAGCTAAACTTCATCCCCATTACCCATTCATTTCGTATATCATGCCAGTTAGAATTGTAATATTCAATTACTGGGGATGGAGCATCAGATTGTAGTTGAGCATAGAGAGTTGCATATTCATTTTCATTTCTGGGGTATGCAATTTTCTGTAACAATTCAAGACAAAAATTTCTTTGTTTTGCAGTTATTCCTAGCTTTTTGCATGATACTTCTCTTTTAAAACATCTCATGGTATGAAATAGACATATTAGAATATTAGCACCATTAAACAACTTTTTCATAACATGTCTTTCTTGGATGTCTTTGTCAGCCATTATCACACGAATATGCCTTGATTCAGGATTTCTTTTTTTAAAATAATGAAAAAAGAATGTCAGACTTGATGCATCTTCTTCGGCTAAAAAACAAACAGCAACTACTTCACTCTGCCCCATAGCATCTTCATTAAGCATCAAGTAAACAGGCATTCTTAATTCCAAAAGCTTGTATGTTGCATCGACAAAAAGGATCTCTGGATAAGCTTTGTAGATATTGAACATTAATTGGTCTTGAAAGAAAATCACATTTGCATCATCTGTGAAAATATCAACTGTTGCTCCTGAAAAATAATTTCATTTACTAGAATGATCAAACAACACAACGAACCATACACACAAATTTTGATAATAATTATTTGAAGACATATTTAAAATATACCATATTTTTCTTGGAGATCTTTAACAAACTTATCTAGATTATTTCTTGTCTCTACAATCTTTAATCTATTCTGAATATTAGAAAGATCTTTGAAAAGGACCACTTTACCAGTCTGTTGCGAAAGCTGCTGCTTTATTAGCTTTTTGTTGGCCTTCAATTTTAGCATTTTTACTGCTTCTCTTTAAAAATCTTGAGGAAGTTTTTTTTGTTTTGGTAAATGACTGTATAACTCCTGTGTATATAAAACTTTATTTATTTTTAAAGCTTATTTTAGAAATGACATTAAACATGTTTATTATGCATGTAAATGTTCAACATAAAGTTTTTGTTAAGAAATACAATATTTCATTGTAAAATGAATTTGTTAAACATATATAACATAATATGCCTTGCTATTTCCTAACTATAACTCTTCTCAAATTTATTTATAACATAAACATGTATTGTATACTTTTGTTAATCATTGTTTAAACAAATAAATAAATCTAACTATAAATATCTTTGAGTGCTTCAGTAAATTATATATAATATCCTATACAAAAATTACAAAATAATTTTTTTTTTAAATTATAATATTTTTGGTAAATATATTATTTCTGATGGTAAATAGCTATTACCTGGGAAACTTCATGATTATGGTTCATATTAAGACTTTTTACTTGCAGATTCTGACCATCTTTAGATGCACGAAGAACCACATTAACTGGACATTCTTGCCTAAATTTTCTATATAAAATTCAAAAAAAAATTTTTAACAAAAAAAAAATTAAAACAGTTTTGTTAATAATTATCTAAGCAATTTCTGCCTATTCTATTTTGGGACACAAAAGTAAAAGAAAGCATTTTTCTAATGCACTTTCTAATGATATTGTTAAAACTAACAGATATGGTTTTACTGATAAAATAGTTGAAGACTACAGGGGAAAAAAGGCACATGTCACACATTTCCACTTTTGAGATAAATGAAATTTTGTCTTTGAAAGTCGCTATGTTTGTCTCTTACTGTATTTCTTTTGATGTTTCTGTAGCATTCCATAAACCTTTTTTGGGTTGGATTTTACTATCTGGATTTTTAATCTTCAGAGTTAATTTTACATAGTAGGGAACATAGCACAAATAATTGGAAAATGTGACATGTGCCCTTTTTCCCCTGTGGTCTTCAGTTTTAAAAGTCTTTTTAAACACAGGTAGAAAGTATCATTTTACAAGTGTAGCAATTGAAGTCTATGAGACACGTATGAACACCTTTTCAGAATAAAATTCGTAAAATTTTTTGAGTCGCAATAATCATAGTCATAAGAAAGAGATGATCTGGCCATTTATGATACTTCTTTAATCCACTAACAATGTAGTGTATAATTAATTTAAAAATTTCATGTCACATACCTATATATATATATATATTTATTTATATATATATATATATACATATACATATATATATATATATATATATATATATATATATATATATATATATATATATATATATATATATACATATATATATATATATATATATATATATATATATATATATACATATATATATATACATATATATATACATATATATATATATACATATATATATACATATATATATATACATATATATATACATATATATATATATATATATATATATATATATATTATTATTATTATTATTATTATTATTATATTATTATTATTATTGCTATTACTGAATTTAACATGAATAAGCATTTACTTTGTATATAATTACTTTACCTTTTGTTTTAAATTTGTTAACACCCTTGAATTTGTAAGAGCTTCATCCAGAAATAAATTAATTCGTTAGTTGGTTCTACACGACAAGAAAACTTCATGTGGCTTATCAAACTTTACAGAATAGGCTATTCTAACTTTATAAAACGTCATTAAAATAGCCCATGACCCACATTAAATTTTATTGTGGCACAATTAGATAACTTACAATGCACTACGTAGTCCTCGACTTCTAGACTTAAAGTTAACACCACCTTGAATGCAGCAGTACTTTACTTCATAATAAACAAGAGATTCTTTAAGCTCTTTTGAAAGTCTTTTTTTAGCTGATAATATTTTTCTGATATCTCTTTTTCATAATTGAACAAAATTCAGATTTTCATATTCCTTTTAAAATTTTGCAGTGATGCAAATGAGTCAAATTTTTGATTTAAATAAAAACTTGCTGAATTAATAGCCTCCATTTTTCATATGTACAATATAAGTAAATGTTAGATTTTCAATTAACTTATAATAACTTTTCAACTAATGTAAATTTATGCAATTCAACGATATCACTAACTTCAAGTGTTAATTTTACCGATTTCTTTAACTTTCCAATCAATCGACCAATCAAGCTTCGCTGCCGTAACTAAATAAACTAACTAATAAATTAACCAATCAGAGCTCACTACCGTAACTTTACGGAAAGAAATTAAAGCAACGGTACCGTTGCGCGAGCAACAGCGTAAATATAAATATACATAAATATCTTTTAAATATGTTTCATTTTTTAGTATTGCATTATTTTTATTATATTATTTATTGTATTATTGTATTATATTAATTTTATTTGTATGAATAAACGTGTATAGTTATTTTATTAGTATTATTTATAGTTTCAAGATCAATAGATATTTTTTATTTAATACTGATTATTGAATTTTATGATAGTAACAGAATTAATGGATTTAATAAACTGAAAAAATGAAGTTCAGAAATATTTCCAGAAATTTCTATTTGATGCTTGACTATAAATCAAGGACTAAAATTATGTTGCGTAGTATAATTAATTGAAAAAACAATTCTCATCTTCTTCAATGGTGTTTATGTAACTTATAACAACAGTTACTGGTATAACATATAGCATACAGCTATTTAAACTATAAATAAATCTCAGAGGATCAAGATAGACATAACAGGAGTGAATGAATGAATGAATGAATTGCTTTATAAAGTTTTATAATAATTAGTAGTTGTTTGCATTTTTTTATTCAGGTTGCTTTTGAAGGAGTAGAAGAAAGTGATAGTGAAATGGATGATGAAGTTGAAGAAAAAGGTATATTTTCAGAGTATATTTATTTCATATAACTTTTTAGAAATTATTTGAATTTAATATTAGTATTGAAAATATTTTTGTTATTTTTTGTGGAGTCCTTATAATATTGATATTCAAAGTTAAATAATTATATGTATAGATTTTTATACAGAAACTTGTACGCAAAGTTGATTTATAAACAAAAATTGACTTACATGCAATTATATATAGAAAGTCAAATTAAAATTTAAAATAATAACTGATAACTCCTTATTACAATAACAGAATTTGAGAAAAAAACAATTTTAAATCATTTTTAATATTTTTTTTTTTTTTTAGAAAAATCCGTAATCAATAAAAAAATTATTGTTGCTGATGAAAATGATTTAGAAAATGAAGATAGTGAAAGTGGTGATGACAGTGAAATTGATGATCGAAGTATTTCTCAAGGGAAAAATTTAGAAAAAGCAGAAGCAGCAGCTATCAAAGAAAATACCGAAAATAAAAAGATTGGATTTTCTATTGCCCCACAAACAAATGGTATAACGTTGTTTATAAACTTTGAGTTGTTATATATATATATATATATATATATATATATATATATATATATATATATATATATATATATATATATATATATATATACATATATATGTACATATATATATATATATATATATATATATATATATATATATATATATATATATATATATATATATATATATATATATATATATATATATATATATATATAATTATTGATGTTGTTATCAGGTGTACTTGGTCCAGAAGCACTCGCTTTAGGTACTGCAATGGTAACTTCCAAAAAAAGAAAAAGAGATATAGTTGATGATGCATATAATAGGTGAATAAATGTGACATTTTAGTATTGACATTTAGGTTTTTATTTTTACCTTTAAAATAATAAAATTTAAAATGATTTAAGGGAATAACTTAAAATAGGTGATATTTAACAATTATTGTAGGTGTTTTGATATCTCTTGAAACATTTTTCAGATATAGTTTTAATGACAAAAGATTACCCAAATAATTTATGTGAAACTTGAAACATTTTTTAGATATAGCTTTAATGATGAGGGATTGCCTAAATGGTTTATCGAAGATGAAGTGAAACATACTGTTAGACATATTCCTATAACTAGAGAAGAAGTAGAGTTTTACAAACAAAGAATTCGAGATTTAAATGCTCGACCAATTAAAAAAGTTATTGAAGCTAAAGCAAAGAAAAAGTCACAAGTATGTTTTTTTTAAGTTTTTATTTTTTGTTTAACATCAACAAGAAAGTCATTTAATAACTAAACTGTTTTTTTTTAAACAAAACAAAACGGAATTTTTTTTTTTCATTTTTATGAAAATGTTTAATGTGAGTAATGATTTAATTATTTGTGATTAGTGTAAAGTGAGTTTTGGATTACCGAAGACAAAATTTGATTTAACTATTTTGGATTTTTTTTTCAAATAAGTTATGTATTTTTAGATGCTAAAAAAATTAGACCGTGCTCGTCGTAAAGCTCAAGGTATACTTGATGCCACAGATACAGGATCAAGAGAAAAGCAAGAACAAATTAAAGGGTAAAACAATAACTTTTTTTTTACTTTTATAACTTTTTTTTTAAGATTTTTTTAACAGGCTTTACCAGAATCTTTTAAGAGGTTTTATTAACTTAAAACTATCAAATTAAGGATTTCAAATCTATCAGTAATGAGATTTAAATTCTTTTACAAACCTGGAAAGTTTTTTTTTAATTTTAATCAAAAAATGGTTAAATTTTCTTTTAATATTGAAAAGTTTTTTTAAGTCACATTGTAATCTTAAAAGATATAAACTAACCATAATATAGTTAAAACATAAAATGGTTTTCTATAAAATGATTTTGTTTCTGTAAGTGTGAATATAATACAATAAATATAATGGTGTAGCCAAATTCCACATGCAAAATTATTCATATATCTATGACATATAAGTAATAATTTATGTGAATTGTTTCTGTATTATTATTTCATTATTTTCGCGCTTTAAGCAAGTTATTTTGTACCAAATTTTTTTAGCATTTATAAACGAGCTGGTTTATTGAGTAAAAAGAAAGTTGAAACTACTTATGTTGTAGCAAAAAAAGGGCTAGGTAATAATTTTTTCAAATAATATTAAATAATTGGTGATTTATATAATAATTGGTAGTTTTATAAATTTTATTTCTAAAAACACTAGGTAAAGTTGCATATGTTTTTAGATTTTATTATGCAAAAATTATTTTTATGAAATTTTAGTTTTTGTGTTACAATTTTATTTTAAAGTTAATTTTAATTTTAAAGTAACAAGTTTATTTTTACGTAAAAACCTTCAACGCAAATTCAAAATAAATTCAAATTTAAGCGCAGAATCATACACTTGAACAAGTTTGTAAAAGCTGTAACGCGTCTAAAATGTTTTAAAATATAAAAGAATTTTATTTAACTTTTTTTATTCTTTTAGCTGGAAAAAAATATTCTCGACCCGATGGAGTAAAAGGGCAGTTTAAAGTTGTCGACCCACGTATGAAAAAAGATCTTCGAGCTTTTAAAAATAAAGAAAAAACAAAAGGACGAAAAAAAAGACGTTAGGCAATTCAATATAATTCTAAATTTTAATTATCTTGTATTTTTGCTTTTTACATCGAAATATTTAAATGGCTCCAGAGACTCCAATATTCTTCCATATATACAAAACATTAATGCATTACATAGCACATGTTAATAAACCGGAATAATCCAAGTTAAAGAAGATCAATAAATTAAGCGTGTACCTTCTAGTCTTGTAAACATGAATAAAACGAAAGTAGATATGATTTACTAAAACTTTGAACATTCAAGTTATCATTTATGTAGAGATTTAATTATATCAGGCTAAAAATTAAAAGTTTGGTATAGCATGTTTATGTCTCAATAATTAACTCTTAATGGGTAAGTTCACTTACCCATTAAGAATTACCCGTTACTTGGCTCGCACACAAGTTTAAGTATTGATATTTGAACTTGTTCAGTAAGTTGCAAATTCTAAAATCTAATGCAATGTCTGTCCGTTTTTATATATGCCATCTTTCTAAATCGACTACTTCATACTTTTAATTTTAATTACTTCAGTTCTTCTTTAATCTCACTTACTCTAGATCTGTTGAATCGGGTAATGATACTCTTTAGTGAATTGAACTTGTCTTTGCGGACCTTTGTATTAGATGTTTGTATGGCAATGACCCGGAGGAAGATTAACCACAGTATTGCATGTGACTTTTAACGCACAAACGCATCTAAACTTTTGTTTTAGTAGCAAAGCTCTTAATGTAATGTGTTTCTTTACTTGCCGGTCTATCCGCATTTTTCAAACTCGACTACTTCTATTCCTGTTTATCTACAAACTCCCTTACTCTTCCAAATCAAATGTATTCTGAAATAGATTTCACCTTTCATGGACTATTTAAATATAGTACAAGTACTAATTTTAAGGAAACACCATAATAAAAGACTTTAAAAAAAACGTAAAACAGTGCAATACTTAAACGAAAAACTTAATGGAATAATAATTAAGAAGCTTGATAAATTTAGTACAAAATTCAATTTACTTTTATATATCTATCTAGGATATGACTTTTATACACCTAATTAAAATATAGCAATAAAAGAGAATTAGATTATAATAATATGCAGTAAAAACATAAATAATATAGTAATATAAGTATCAGTAATAATAATAGACAATAATAATAAAAACTCCAGTTATTGGTAATAATAATCAAAATAACAATAAAAACTAACGATAAAAATAACAATTCTGTTAATAATAATAATAACAAAAATATTAATAATAACAATATTTATAATAGTGAGAGTTTGAAATACTCTATATAAAAAATAATATTAATTTGAGAAAAAGTTAAGAAAGAGCAAGTATTAGTAGTAATAAATCAGCATTGAAATGAAGAAAGTAGTGAAAAAGAATTTTAAAAAAAGATCAAGTATTAGTAGCTATAAACCAGCATTGTAGCGAATAAGGTGGATGATAAGGTTATGATAAGGTTAGTACATTCTAGGCCAATGTTAGGCCAGGTTAGTAGTAGATGGATAGTAGATAGTAAGCAGTAGAGTAGCATTAGGAAGAATACTTGTTTAATAAAAAATTAAATAGACTGTTTTTGAATTTGGAAAATGTTGGGAGAGATTTTAACTGTAAGGGGAGACTATTGATTAAATATTAGACCACGTGATATGCTCTAATATTTAATCAACTTATGTCCATAACTAACAATTTTATGTTTAGGTATAGATAATTTGAAGCTTTTAGCTGATCAAAGTTGGTAGCGAGTATTTTTTTTATAAGTAAAAAAATAAATAAATGGAGGAGGTAAGGTGTTATGTTGTTGTTTCTAAATAAACAAACAGTTAGAGTGTTAATATTAGGGTCAGAGTTAAAATGCTGAAAACAGAATATTTTTAGGGCTTTATTTTGGAGGTGAGATAATCTTTTAAGTGTTAGAGATTGGGTTTGCATCCATATTTGACAAGTATATCTAAGATGAGACTCAAAAACAACATGATATATGTTAAAAAGCGTTTCAAGATTAAGATCGAATGTCGAATTTTGGCCAACACACCGTTGGACTTGTTTCAGTGCTAAGTCTTGAAGATGGAATGCAAAACTTAAATTGGAATCAATTTTGATACCGAGATACTTGATAGAATTCACAGGATCTATTTTTTGACCACTTAATCTGAAATTCAGGTGCTTTTTTATTTTTGTTTGACTTGATTTAAAGAAAATAATTTCAGTTTTTTTTGGAATTAAGTGATAATTTATTGGATAGAAGCCACTGGAGTCACTAAGTCATGGTTAATATTTTTGTTTATATTTTTATGCGGTTTGTTTATTAAAAACAGATTGGTGTCATCAACGAAGTGGTGCTAAGCAGTGGAAAATTTCAGAGAGGTATTAAGATCATTAATAAAGAGAAAATCTTAGTTTAAACCTGCAGCTTCGATAAACTTCCGTTACATCGTTAGTTATAATATAAATAATACAACTATATGTTATATGATTTATTATAGACGGTTGATGATTTATTACAGACCTACAAACAACAACTTTGTTGTTGTGCTTTGCTGCACAACCTTACAGCACAGCCTCATCCGTTTATTTACTGAAAAACTTTTAAACTGCCTTTATTTTTTGCAAAATCTTATTTTTGTTGTTGTTAAATTAGCGGATTAAAAAGCAAGTTAGTAGAGAGCGTGTATTTAACGACTATAAATAAAACATACTGAACGCAACATATATTTTTCTAAGTTTTATTTAATCTGTAATGGTATAGAAATAATAATAATTGGAGACTTGCAGAAGACTATTTTTGTCGTTATCGCAGAGAATCACACGTAGAATTTCGAAGAAGTTGAGAACAATTCGAAATCGATTAGCTCCAACTTGCCTAAACATTTTGCAAGTCATCCAGGTTATGCCCTAGTATTAACAGACTCAAACTTGAGTACCGTACATGCCTATTTTACTTTTAAAACAATAACTCTTAAATAACGGGACTTTTAATTAATCTGTGGTAAATGTTTTAAATTTCTGGCACGAGGGATTGATTTCTGCAGATAATAAAGGTTTATGTAGAGCAAGCTCCTTTACACGGCGAGTAATTTTTTAGGAAATTGAGAAAACTCAATTCTTAAAAAAAAATTAACACAAAAATACTAACATGACCAGATGATCCTAACGATTCAACAAATTGTATTTATAAAAACGTTGCATCAAAACATTGCTATCAATACTGAAAAAAACTACAATTCTAATATCGTTTTTATTGAAAAACCTTTATTTTTGTATAATTTTAGCTTTATAGTAAAAGGTCTTAATAGTAAAGACCAAACCAATCCTCATAATTTCGCATATTTATATATCGCATAACTATAATATGCGTGGATAATCTTGGAATGCATCTAATTATTTATTTTTGAGTATTTGTTCTTTTGCAGTTCAGACGAACAGTGTAGTTGTGTACAGATCTGCTGTGCACACAAGCAGCTTAATCACTTTCATCATCATCATCGTCGTCTGTCTGCTCACCTGAAAATTCTGCTTCGTCTTCTTCTGCTTCAGATAATTCTTTCAACTCCTGAAAATCAGCCTGAGAACTGTTACCTTTTGAACGCATAGATCGTTGACTTTCTTGAGGAGTTATTTCTTGAGAAGCGCTTTCGTCACTATCTGAACCATCATCGTCATCGTCGTCATCCTAAAAAGTGTTTAAAAAAAAGTTGATAAATAATTTTTTTCAAAGAACCTTTCAATACCATAGTTAAAATATATTATTCAACAATACCTCTGGTTTCGATTTGACAACAGGTTTTTCTATCTTTTGTATTGTTTTTTTCTTCTTTTCGTCTTCATCCGTGGAATCATCATCGCTTGTATCTATGTATTCTTTGCTTTTATAAGCATCTTTTTTCATCGGAGACTCTTTACTTTTCATCATATCTTTTATGTTTTTTGAATTTGACTTTTTATTAGTTTGTGTTGAACTACCACTCTTTGCTGATTTACCGGAAGGAGCAGCGCCGCTATCTTTTATAGCAGCACCGCCATCTTTTATAGTTTTTGAATAAGCCGCAAAATCGATAGTATATTTATTTTTTGCTTCTTTTGCCATATTTTCCCATTTCTAAATGTAAATCTAGCATCATCTTCATCTAACTTTTTTAGAAGAATAATAAAAGAATAAAATAAAATAAAAAAATGATTTTATGTTAAGACTAAAAAGTATCATTTTTTTTGTTTTGTTTTCTACATTACCATTCAAAGTATCTATTTTAGTTGTAAACAAAAATAATGTTGAAAAACTAGTTTTAGTTAGTAAATCAATGTTACAGTTAACAAACATGTATTTGAAATTCCTAATGTCTTAGTTAAACTTGTAATTCTCAATGTAAACGTATGATTTGCTTGTAAACTTGAAACTCTCATTGTAACAAACATGAAATTGTCGTATTTAACAAATATGAAATTGTCGTATTTAACAAACATGAAATTGTCGTATTCAACAAACATGAAAATGCTGTACATAGTGTTTAAATTTGAATTAACTTTTTTAAATTTGCGCCATTTGTATTGTTTGCACTAAAATGGTTTCTGTTTATTGACAGCTGTCAAGTATAATTTTATAGTTATACTTGTATAACTATAAAGTATAAGTGTAACAAGTATAAGTGTAACAAGTATATAGTTTATTAACTATATAGTTTATTGACAACTGTCAAGTATATAAACATTGCGGTTAGTAAATATGGAGAAAATACGATTGAACAAGACATCTTCATTGTTAAAAATTATTTTAAGTTTAGTAAAAATTATGCAGAAGTTGGAAAAAAATTTAGTACAAAATATGGAAAAATTGTCCAACAAACTCCACCATTCAAAATATTTTGAATAAATTTGAGGAAACTAGTTAATTTAAGATCAAAAAAATAAAATTTACAGTCGTAGTGGTTGTTCTCTAGAAAATTTTGCTGCTGTCAGCGAAAGTGTTAGTGAAGAGCCAAAAACATCAATTCGCCATCGTTCACAGCAATTAGGCATAAAACAAACTACTTAATTCAATATTTGCCTAAGTATGTTTACCTTTAAGCTTTTGCTAAAAGATTGGAGGCTTGCAGAGTGCAGCTCAACAAGGCCTCCAGGTGGTCACTTGTTGACACTGTGTTTTATTAAAAAATAAAAAGTTTGTTCAAATTTGAACAACTTTAATTTAAGAGACAAGAAATTGTCGTAGTAAATAAGAAACTGTTGTAGTTAAAAAGCATGAAATTGTTGTAGTTAACAAACATGAAATTGTTGTAGTTAACAAACATGAAATTGTCGTAGTTAACAAACATGAAATTGTTGTAGTTAACAAACATAAAATTGTCGTAGTTAACTAACATAAAATTGTTGTAGTTAACAAACATAAAATTGTCGTAGTTAACTAACATAAAATTGTCGTAGTTAACAAACATGAAATTGTCGTAGTTAACAAACATAAAATTGTCGTAGTTAACAAACATGAAATTGTTGTAGTTAACAAACATAAAATTGTTGTAGTTAACAAACATGACATTGTCGTAGTTAACAAACATAAAATTGTCGTAGTTAACAAACATGAAATTGTCGTAGTTAACAAACATAAAATTGTCGTAGTTAACAAACATGAAATTGTTGTAGTTAACAAACATAAAACTGTCGTAGTTAACAAACATGAAATTGTTGTAGTTAACAAACATGAAATTGTTGTATTTAACAAACAAGAAATTGTGGTAGTAAATAAACAAGAACTTGTCGTTCATGTTTGTTTACTAACTATCGTTACATGTTGTCGTTCATGTTTGTTTTCTAACTATCGTTAGTAAACAAACATGAAAATATTGTAGTTAAAAAGCATAAAGTTATCGTTAGTTGACTAACATAACATTGTCGTGGTTATCAAACATAAAGTTGTCGTAATTATCAAACATAAAACTGTTGAGGTTAAGAAATACCAAATTATTGTAATAGTATTTAAAAAACAACACGTAATTAATAAACATTTTATCCTTTGTGAACAAACAACAAAATGTCGTAATTAACAAAAAAATTGGGGTAGCTAACAAAAAACAATCAAGCTTGAGCAGCAATCAAGCTTCAACAAACAATAGGGAAGAAGTGGGACAGCCTGAAATTTCTAGTTAGGAGTGGTGCCTAAATACTGTTATTTAATGTAAACAATTAAATTTTTTCCCCTCTATTTAGGAGAAACTGCTTTGTTACCCTACGTGCACTAGAAGCCCTAATTTTGAAATGTACCTTAAAAAAGTTGATTTCATGATTTTATCAAATTCTATTTCATAATTTGTATTAAAATGTTGGTTTAAATTCATTTGTCCCACTACTACTCACAGTTGTCCCACTTTACCACAATGGCACGGTTTCTCTAAAAGCAAAAATTTATATACTTAGTTATAATTGGCTGGAAACCTAAGGGGATTGAATCGATGCCTAAAAAGAAAGTTTATTTGTAAAAACTTGTTTGGTTCAGTTTATACATCAAATAAAAAAGATGTTGCTATTACCCTGAAAAAAAAATTTACGTGTCCGACTTCTCTCCACTCTCCGCTACATGATACCTGTCGCCTGTCAAGCAAATCACTTCTTGCTACTGCAACTTTCTATTTATTTAAGTTTGAAAACCAACTCACAATTCAATTAATAAGCAATAAAATTTTTTGATTTAGTAACATGTAAAAATAATGGCCTTGCTTCCAACTTGCTTGCATATATTGGAAACTCAAAATCTGTAAATACATCATTTAATGTTTAAATAATGTACAAAACATGGATGCTCCAGAAAAAAAAAAAAATTACAGTTTGGAAAAAAAAAAGCTCTTTCTTAAGAGACAGAACATAATTCTGTAGATATAATAAGGTTGTATTTTCTTCATTTGTTAAAGATGTCTTTATTTTTTATTAAACTTTTACTTGTTGGAACTATGAAATGCAATTTTGAAAACAAAAAGTTTAAAAAAATTTCTCACTGGCATTTTACCCATAGACAGTGAAATCTCTATGAAAAATTAAAAAATGCTCTCAAATAAAAACTATAAAACCACAAAAATACCGTTTTATCTGTGAGTGTTTTCCACTGCTCACCACCTTTTTTTGCTATATCAGTAAAAGCTATTCCTGGGTTATCAGCTTTAATTTTTTCACGAACTTCATTCATGTATAACATAAATGCAGACATAGGACGTTTTGGAGCATTTTCATCCTTCTTTTTTTTTTTACTAGATCCCTAAAAAATATACAAAATGTTAAAATAAGTAATTCAAGAGAATAAAAAATTTTGTGAAAAAAAGTAGCAAAAAATAAACATTAAAATTCAAAACAAATAAAAAATTAAGGCACAGCATTAAAAAATTATTATGATGTAGAATCAGATGATAGAAATTGTTGTGCATGTTAGTAGTACCAGCGAGTCTTCTTCAATTTTGTGGTTCATGCATTGTTATCAAGAATATATTCATAAACATGCATAAATATTCATGATCAGCTGTTGCTGTCAAGATTATGGTTCTTTAGATTAGAATAAATTGTAAAAGTTCGTAACACTTCTTTCTATTTGATAAAGCTATCAAAGATTTTTTTAAAAAAACAAGTTCAATTCCAATATTGATGTAAGGTGAGTCACTAGAGGATGTAGTGAAAAAAGTTCAAGAGCAAGAAAGAGTCAACAGAATGTCAAAAGAATGTCCTAATAAATTAAATTCAACAAATCAGCAAATCAAAAAAGGAATTTTAAAATGATAATGTTCCGGGTAAAAAAAACAACAAGTTTTTAAAGCATGAAAGATCAACCACTGTATTTGAACTTGTACTTTCTCATCACAATTAAAAATTAGAGGTAGAAAATAGAACATAGTAAGAAATTAACACAGCCCAACAAAATTTGACTTTTTTTTTTTTTTGTGTGCATGTTTTTCTTACATTCTTACAAACACATTCTGATTTCAAATGTGCAATCCTTATTGTTCTATCAAGTCAAGTTTTGAAAATATTTGGGGTAATCACTAACAATGCCAAAAAAAACTTCTTCAAAAGTTAACCTGGGTCTCAAAAGAAGTTTTTACAGAGATTTCAAAAATAATATTTGTTAGTAATAAAAATGAATATTTTCATTTAAATATTTTATTGTTAAAAAACTTTATTTAAATATTATTTTTGAAATTTCTATAAAACAAAGCTTTTAAAATTATTGAACCATTTTTTTCTAATAATATTAAAGTTGTTTTGAATGAACAACAATCTTTTTCATTTCCTGTAACTTCCGGGCAACAAGGCTCCATCCTCAGTTTATATATTGCTGTTGTACTGAATGCTGTACTAAATCATGAAATCTCATGAATTCTCAGAAATCAGCTCTCTACTTTTTACATAAAATCATGTTCTCTAGTACATTTTTTACTTTTTCACAAATACATTTAGAAAAATCAAGGCATTTGCATACTGCATTGTCAAATAAAGTATTTTCAAATGGTTTGATTATCAAAAGTGATTTTAACTTTCCTAATATAAAATAGCATGCTGACTAGACCAACCACCTCTGGTGTTAAATGAAGGCCGAAATCCAAGTTTGCCTCATCTGCAACATTAAACCAAAAAATGGTCTAATAAAAAATTCTCTTGACCTAATGATCACCAAATCACCTGACTGAATTAATGAAGTTATACATAGGCCTCCTCTTGACAATACATCATAAATTATTTTACATTGAACTGGTAACACCAACTGTCAAATGTCTTTATAAAATCACCACGAATTAACAACACCAAATTTGCCTTCAAAAAGAAAAACTACCCCAAAATAAATGAACATTTTAGTAACACAGACTAGATAATTGCTTTTAAAGACAAAAGTGCAGATCAATGCCATCAAATATGGTTTAATGAATACCACAAATGCTGCTCTGCATTCATCCCACCAACACTCATACTTTTATAAAACATAGCCACGGATGACATATGAACCTTTTGCCCATAATCAAAAGCAAAATTTGGTTTATTAACCTCCATAGCAAATGGAAAATAACTAAGATTATCAGAGAATACATCATCATGCCAGAAACCTAATGAAGAAAAATAAACCATACACAATTAAGTTTTTCGAGCATAACTTTTGCGAACATAAATAGAAACAAAAAAGATTAATCAAATCACATTGATCATCTTCTGATGAAAGCCACATTAATAAGACCTCCATTGCCAACATCCTAAACAAACAATTCCAATTATTTATCTTGACTGAAAAAGCATAGTATGCCATACCATACTTAACACATTGCACCTGGAACTCTGTTTCTAATATCTCTTTGAGATCAATACAGTCTACAATCACCTTAAAGCACTTAACACTATAAATCAACCAGAAATGATAATGATAATACAACCCTTGACGCCAAACAAACTTCTCTTGGAAACACATCACGATCTTGTAAATAAATAATTATGTCACAAACCTTTTAGAAACAATAGACTTTCTGACTAATAGTATCTCTTAAGCTCCCTGCTGATACATTATTCTTTGACTTTGCCAAAGCCTTTGATAAGATCCCGCCAGAAGAGTACTCCATAAACTGGAGATGTATGATATAGAAGGTAATTCTTAAACTGGATTAAAATCTTTCTTTTTGATAGAACCTAGCATGCCATACTTGATAACACCCCAATCAAGTGGAAAGCAGTGGAGTTCCACAAGGCTTTGCGCTTGGTCTGACATTCTTTATTATTTTCATCAATGATCTTCTTCACATACCAGTGACAAATTTTCTTTGTAAATTATATGCTGGCAATACCAAAGTTCTTAGCATTGTTAGTAAACTAAATCTGAAAAATTACCCTATCGCCCACCTTAGAGAACATGTATTTTATGACCGAATACGATCAATAAGACATTTCAAAAAGAATTTAACTTACTACAACAAACTTTGAAAAAGACCTTGGTATCCACATCTCTTATGATCTTAAATTTAAAATCTAATCTCCTATTGCAGCCTCCAAAGCTGAGAAAATGCTTAGTTTACTGAAACATACATTTATAAGTAAAGACACAAAACTATGTAAAAAATACCACTTGCGTACGCCCTCATCTTGAATTTGATATTACGGAATGGAATCCTCATTTTTAGAAAGATACTGATGTATTAGAACAAGTTCAGCAACGGAAATCTTGTATGAGTCTACTTATAACTAGGAAAGAGGTGCAAAAAACTAGGCCTTACTACATTAAAAGAAAGACACATCTGTGATGACATGACCCCAAATAGACAATAATATTGACAATGGAATAACAAAGTTGTACAGCCAGATTTGTTAACTGTTTTAAAATCTCCCACAACAGTTATATTCACTACAGGGCATCATCTATTGTGACAACCTCAGTGGTTAAACGAGTTAGTCATGATAACTCAAGATCCATTCAATGGAACATGCCCCTATGAACCAATAATTATTTATTCTATATAGTAGTTTAATAATAATATTATCATTGTTTTGCACTCTATTAATACAGCATTTTTAATAAAGTAATTTGTTATAGAGTTAATCATAATTAATTTTAATTTAAAAAATAATTACTTTTTAAAATTTTTGTAGTACTTATCTTAAATTTTGATAATAAAGTAATAAATATAACCTAATAATCCTTCAAACACTGTACCTCCTCTTTTTTGGGCCGTTTAATTTTGGGTTCATTTTTCTTTGGTTCTGATTTTCTTTTTTTGTTTTTTGCTTCTGAGTTGCTTTCATTATCCTCATCATCTGTGCTATTGCCAACATCAGAATCAAATCTAAGTATATATAGCATTTTTAAATCTAAATGTATATAGCATGTTTCTTTACAATAGGTAGTTTCTTTACAATAGGTAAATTAATAATTCTAAATAATAGGAAATTAGAAGATTGAAGACAAGAAGTTTTGGACTTAATGAATTTAAAGTTTTTGGTAAAAAAAAGGCTACTCATCAAAACCATTATACAAAAGGTTTGTAATCTTAAGAATTAAAAAAAAAAAGACTGACTCCTCTCGAACACTTTCCACTTTTTCATTTGCCGGATTAAAGTCTTCATCTATTAAAATACAAAAGATTTTTCTCAAAGAATACAAATAAATAAACAAATTAAAACAAATAAAAATAAAAACAGACAAACAAACAAACAAAAAAATTAAAACAAATAAAAAATAAAAGAAACAAAAATTGTTGCTTACAATTGGTATAAGAAAAATTTGAAAGAAAATAAATAAAAAATAATTTAAAAAATTAGAAAATAAAAAATAATTAACCTTCACTTTCACTTTCACTATCACCTTCGTTTGCCTCATCATCTCGCTCAGCACCTTCTGCTTTCATACGTTGTAAATACGCATCATGTTCATCTGGATTTGACTCAATCATTTGATCAAGGTTACTACCACCAGAGCTTGCCACTTTATTCTTAATTCTCAGCTTTTTCTGATTGACAAAGTCAAAGAGAGGTGTGTACTCATCCCTTGAAAATAATTTTTTGTATTGTAGGTTGAAGTTTTAAGATGTTCTTACAAGTATTTAAAAAAAATTTATTACTTGGGTAAACTACTAAAAACAACCACAGTTCCATTATTCAAATCCATTTCAAAATCAAATGTTCGACCTGTTGTACTGCCACGAGCAAAATTTACCGAAGATATTTCATCAAATCGTATATACACTGGAGGTTTATGTACAAACATAAAACCTTTCTCAAGAGGATACAACAAACCATTACTTGCTTTATAGGAACACGATATTGCACTTGTACCAGTTTTGCTAATTATTTTAAATTAAAAAAAAATAATAGCTTTTTCTATGGCTGTCATTATTACAATCAAATAATAAAGATAAATTTTAAAAATAAAAACTTCATCACAGAAATAATTATGTAAAACATCAAGAACAATAAGCTTTATACAAGTTGTAATTATTAGATTTTTGTATAAACAAAAAATAAAACTTTGATAATATCAATATATTAAAAAACTCATCATAACATTGAAATATCATAACAACATAAATGCACTGAAATAATCATAACAACATAAATGCGCTGATATAATCATAACAACATAAATTAAATTATCAACATAAATAAGCATAATAAAATGAAACAGTTAAGTAGCTGTTGACAACAAAAAAAAAATTATATTATTTTCTTTACAAATTTTTATAATTTTCTTAACTCAATGAGAAAAATTAAAGAGTGCATAAGAGTGCATAATAGAGAGTGCATAATAGATTTATAAGTAATAAGAGAAAAATTAGAAAGTGCATAATAGATTTATAAGTATAATATAATAGAAGTGTATCAAGACAGGGTTTACTAGGAATAAAATTGATACAGAGTTTTGACGAAATTTTGAATTTGTCAAAAAATTTCCCAAATATACCCCCTTCCCTTGAGATTAAAATGTGTACTGGATATGTGTGGGGTTCTTTCCTTATATTCTTTCTTCTTCTACTTAGCACTGCATATATTGATTGGATAGCACTAAAACTAAAACAAAATACCATCTGTAACATTTATTGAAGATGAATATGAAATCAACACAAAATTAAATGTGGTTGCACATCGACAAGGCAAATTAAGCTCCGATTTCCAAAGATATTTCAGAATTATATTTTTTATATTATCAAATAAAGAGTGTTTAATAATTAATTATTATCAAGAATAATATATTTGATTTGCTTTAAATCTTAATAAATTGTTGCGGCTTTCATGTTAAGATTATTCTTTTAAATATATATATTTTTTTCACTAGTGAAAAATTAAAGGACAAATTTTAAAAAAATATAGCGATTTATGTTCAATGAAAATCTCCTCAAAAGACAATGATCTTCTACATCAAATTATTATTTATATTCTGCTTGAACCCTTACACCATCATATAATAAATTGTGTTATAAAAAGAAATGTTTTGAAAATAGAAAAATAAAAAAAGGTTTTAAAAATAGTAAACACAAAATCATAAATTTTGTATTTCAAATTTATCACGAGTTCAATTTTTTAATTAATATTAATTTTATTTATACATAAATCACATAGCAAAATAAAGTTACAATTTACAAAATCTCAGCAAAAACAACAACAAATTTTGTTTAATTAAATAAAAGAATTACAAAAGATCGCAACAGATTGCACGCTATCGTGGCAACAGATTGCATGCTATCGTGGCAACAGATTGCACGCTATCAAGGCAACGAAGAGTACCAATTATTATTTTTTCATGCATAGTTATAAAATGTTATTATGTTAAAAGTAAATGTTACTTTTTTTAAATTTAATTTTATGTTTTAAATTTAAGCAAGCAGTGAATCAAGTTTTCTTGTTTTTTAAATTTCTAGTACTGGTTTGTTATAATAGAAAAAAGCATTCTTGTTATTAACGGTATTTAATTTACGTTTTAATATACATATTTAATTTATGTTTTAAATATAAGCAACCAGTAAAGTAAAGAAATCCATTTTCCTCATTAAATAAATTTCTAGAACCAGTATGTTTTTTGTTATTTTTTACATATCTTTGCTTCCAACAAGGCTGCAAGCAACCACTAATTAGTGTTGGAAGTTACTGGGAAAGAAAAGATAAAGATTGTAGAGCAAGATAACGATTGACAGACGACTTAAAAGATTGCAAATTATATAAATCAGCAAAGCAAGATGAAGGAAGCAAATTCCAAAGAACTGATGTTCAACGAAAAAAACTAGACAAATAAGAGTTTTTGGAGCACTTAGGAACAGTAACAGAAAAAGGATGAGAGTTAATTGAATGACAAGTAACACGAGAATAAATTTTTGTAGATGGCACCAGAGACGCTAGCTCTTTAGAGCAGTGCCCATTATAGTGTTTGTAGAAAAGAGAAAGAGAAGCAACATTACGACGATAAGACAGAGGTTGAAGGTTGGCTGCAAGAGCAGGTCCAACTATGTTTACAATGCGTTTTTGCAACTTGTCTAAAAAAGAAAGGGCATCATTAGAAGATCCACCCCAGATATGGCAACAGTATTCCATACAAAGCCGGATTTAAAATTTATAGAGATAGAGAATAGAATCCAGAGTAAGAAAGTGACGAGCTCGATAAAGAGAAGCAACTTTAGCAGATGCTAATTTTGCAACGAATTTGAAATAAGGTTTCCAAGAAAGATCAGAAGTAAGAGTTAATCCTAGAAGATGAAGGGTAGGAGACTCATCGAGTACATTACCGTTCATAAATATAGGAAGGTCTTAACTATTGCGATAACGATTGGCTGAAAAAAATTGAGTTTTATCTGAATTAAAGTTCACCAGCCACTGTGAGCCCCATGCTGTAGCAGAAGTGAGATCCTTTTCAAGCTCAGATGCCCCCTGCAAGCAATCAGAGGGAGTTGGCTTCTTATCGTGACAAGAATAAATGGTAGTATCATCAGCAAACAATGCCACCTTAGATGTGAGAAAATCTGGAAGATCGTTAATGTAAATTAAAAAGAGTATAGGGCTAAGGATTGAACCTTGGGGAACCCCTGAGGTTACAGAATAAGAAGAAGAGTGCTGTCCATCAAGGACAACTTTTATACTACGATTGGAAAGGAAGGATTCGATAATGTAAAAGATGTTTCCAGATACACCATAAGAAGAAAGCTTATGGAGAAGACCAGCATGCCAAACTTTAACAAACGCTTTAAAAATGTCAAGAGCAATGGCCTTAACCTCTTCACCTATCGGTTATTACTGATAGCAAATCAGCCGTAGAACGAGAAGATCGAAATCCATATTGATGATCAGAAAGTAGGTTATGAGATTCGAGATAAGAGATTAAGTGTTTGTTAATTAAAGATTCAAAAACCTTGCTTATGATAGAAGACTAATGGGATGGTAGTTAGACGAATCGGATCGCTCTCAAGAATTTTTAAAAATAGGGATAACAGATGCTGCTTTCCAGCAGGCTGGAAAACAACACTCTGATAAGCACTTGTTAAATAGTTTTGAAAGGATAGACCACAGCTCTGGAGAACACTTCTGCAAGACTATAACGGGTATGTTGTCCGGGCCGCAAGAGTCTAAGCAGGAAACCACTTTAGATACAGAAGCTGGAGTGATACAGATGTTGAGCAGTGGATCAACCTGTTTGACGGCTATATCAGGTAGAACGCAACTAGTGGAATCCAGAGATGATATTGATGAAAAGTTCTTGGCAAACAATTCAGCTTTGTCTTTAGGTGATGTGACAAAGTCTAAACCGTACAAAAGAGATGGAATTACAGACTTGCCCTTATTACTGATACAATTAAAGATTCTCCAGAAGTCACGAGAGCCTAATTTTTGTGATGAAATACAAGATTTCATGATCTGAGAATAGCGGGCTTTGGCGTTAGACAAAACCTTTTTACAATGGTTCCTAGCAGTAATAAACAGACGTTTGTTTTCTGGAGAATTGTTTTGCTGATAGATATGGAAGTAATGGTTTCGATTAGCAAATGCAGCAGCACAATGTGAGGAAAACCATGGAGAAGAGTGAGGCTTGACCTGGAATTGTTGAGAGGGGATAAAGGATTCCATGCCAGCCTGAATCCTCGAAGTTATGTAAGAAGCACATTTGTCAACAGGAAGATGAAAGATTTCTACCCAGGGGCCATCACAAAGATAATCACGGAAAGAGTCCTAGTCAGCTTTAAGGTAGTTGTAAGATGTACGATGATAGGGGGATTCTGATGGTAAAGAAGAATGAGATAATAGTTTAGAGAGAGGCCAAACCATCATCAGACGCACCTAAGGGTGAGTGTGAAGAAACTGAGCACTGACTAGGATCAGAAACAAGACATAAGTTGAGTAGAGAAGGTAAATGATTTGGGTTGTCTGGAAAGCGAGTTGGAAAGTTGACTATTTGAGTTAGGGATTGAGAAAGACAAAAGTTGTGGGCCTTAATGCCTGCAGAGTCACTGACACTAGAGCCAAGCCATTCAGTGTGATGAACATTAAAGTCACCGACAACAACAATATTGGCTGATGGATAAAGAATGAGGGCTTGGTCAATATAATCAGAAATAACATCAAGAAGAGTGCAGTCTTGAGATGAGGGAGAGCGATATAGAACAAAGAGAAAGTTGATAGAGTGAAGTGGTGCTAAACGAAAGCACATAAAAGAGTAGTCTGTGGATTCAAACCTAGTTTCCCGACAAATGGGTGAATTCTTACGAATGTAAATGCCCAGGCCAAGCTTGTGACTATTGGAGTCTTTACGAATTAAAGGAAGATAACCATCAACACTAAGATCACAAGATGAGACAGCTGAACTCAAATTAGTCTCACAAAGAGCAAGCAGGTCTGGTGAACTTTGCAAGAGATAAGACTCAACAGAAGAAAAGTTACTTCGAAAACCACGAATATTGGTGAATGATAGGTTTAGCGAACTTGGTGATGACTGTGGTTTTTTGTGTTTTATAGTTTTTGTTACTTTATTCATTTTTAAATTTGTTAAAGAACTTGACTCGAAACATAGATAGTACTCAGTACACTGTTTTATAGCCCAAGCAGTTGCCTTATTTCCACTAATAAACCCTAAGCCGTAACAAAGGGCTCCAATGTGGCCTTGGCAATGCACACCAAAAGTACAAACAGGGACACCATCCATGCGCAACATGGCACTGTTAGTACTCTGATATTTTTCAGCTGTTGATGGAATCAGCCTCTCTGAGAGCTACCACAGAGTTCGGGAAACCTGTCTACCAGCCGGCCTCAGAACCATAAAACTGAGTTTTAGAGCTGTACCCTCATTTATAGTTGTTACTACATAATTTTTGACAACCGGTTTTTGGTAAATAATTTTTGTTTTTAGGTAGCTAAAGTAAAATTTCTTATCTTCTGTATTTTTGTTATGGAGATCATGGTTGAAATAAATTTAAAAGTTGAAGTTTTTCATTCGGATTATTGATATTTATGCTTCCTTTTGGTAGTTTAGCATTTACTTTAATAATAATATGTCTTAAGTTGTTATGTTTTAATGTTATAATCAAAAAACATTTATTAAACTTATTTAAATTTTCAGCCAAAAAGAGCGAAACTTTTAAAGAAATAGCATTTGTGGGTGTTAAAGGGATCCCTAAGTGCTCCTAACATATGATCTCATATGAAAGAGCATAAAAAAAAAATATGTAAGTTTTTTTTCTTTTTCACTAAATTGTAATAATAAATGCATGCTAACAAAAAGCAATTGCCGAAATCACTAAAAAACAACTCCATTTTGATTTTATTTTTTCACCATTGAAACTCGATTGTTAGTCGTTAAAAATCACGTTAGTACGTCACAACAACTTTAGAATATCTACTTCGATTTTCAAGTAAAAAAAAGTCGTGATTAAATAGTTAAGTTTTAATCAAGTTTTTTTAATTAGTTTTGCAAAAACAGTATAATAGCATTCGGTTGAAAGACGTCGTTAAAAAAAAGTTATTAAGTAATAGGTTTAAATAGTTTAGAACTTATAAAAAAGTCTATCGCGATCGCGATTGCAACACACACTTTTGTGATTAGTTTTTTCTTTAAAAAAATCTTTTCACGACTCGTTTTTTTTTTTGGTTGATTAATTTTTTTTTTTCTAGCTTAGCATATTTTTTAGCAATTTTTAAAAGTAATGTTTTTATCATAAAGAACGTCACACAAAATTTATTATTCTAAATAGATAGATAAATAGATGATTTGCTCTTTCGCGCGGAGATTTTCTTTCAAAGTAAAACATTTTTGAATTTAAATTACTTTAAATCTCTGCGTGGAATATTTTTACAAGGTCATTAAAGCGAAAAGTTGAAAAGTTGGTTTTTATCTTTGTTTATCAAAGCTTCATGTTTAAAATAAGGCTTAAAAACGTTAGAGCAAAAAAATTACTGACTTTTATTTGCATTTTTATACTGTTTGAAAAAAAAAACTAATAAAAAAGAATTAATATATAATTATTAATTAATATATCATTAGTTAATTCTTTTTTATTAGTTTTTTTTTCAAACAGTATAAAAATGCTAATAAATCATTTTTTTTACTTTAACGTTTTTAAGCCTTATTTTAAACATGAAGTATAATTCGATTTATTAAACCAAATTTTTTTTTATTGGAAAACTTGAAATAGAAAAATTGAATAAAAACATCAACCATTTAAATAAAAAACTTAATTACATTTAAACTTTTATTAGTCCTTTATTAAAGAAACAATAAATTATAAAAAACGTGGTATCTAATTTTTTATTAAGTTTTTGACAATGTTTTTTGATTTATTGACGATAATTTTTTCCCCTCATTACCGCACATCGGCGGTAATGAGGGGAAAAAATGAGAGCTATAAGAGAGAGGGGTGGGGGTGGGGGGAGTGAGCAACAAAAAAAAAAAAAATTTTCGCGATTAGATTTTTTTGCGTTAATTCGAGCCCTGTCTTAGTTTAATTTTTAATAAAATGTCTATTCAACCTTATCAATTTGAACCAAAAAAATATAGCAAACATAAATGTTAATTTAACTAAAACATTTTACAATCATTATTTTTTTTATCAAGCAAAAACGAGAGTAACCGTCACTTTTGAAATAAATTTATTTTTTTACTAAGGAAATATTTTAAATAAACTTTCATATGTCTAAGTCAAGATTCATTTGTTTTTAACTGACTAAAAAGAGTTTAAAATTTGACTTCTATTCATTTTTAGCCATGGAATTGCCCTTATAACACAAATATATAAATTAATATTATAAAAAAAACTTTAATATACAAATATATTTTCACAAAATCCTACAAAACTTATTCTTGTAAGTAATTATGTGTTAGTTGAAAAAAAACGACTTTACTTTTAAATTTAATTACCAACTAATAAGTTTGCAATAATGACATTTTGTCTGCTTTGTTTAATTTGACGTACTAACGTTAGTTTTTTGAGGCAGTAGAGTCAATAAACTTTTGACAAGACGCATTTTTTTTAATCGAAGAAAAGCGTTTTTTTGAAAATTAAATTTGTTAGTGTGTGTTCATTATTACGTTTTAGAAAAAATAATATACATCAAACATTTTTTTTTTTTTTATGCCTTTCATATGAGATCATATCTTTATAGCACTTAGGGATCCCTTTAAACCAAACAAATTTGTAATTTTTTAAATTGTACTTTATTTCTTGGTTACTTTTATTTTATTTGGAGAATGGGATTTTTTCAATTTTAAATAGGGAATTTTAATTTTAAGAGTATTTGGGAATACCGCGTTTGACAGGGCCCCACTTACAGTTTACACCCTGCAAGATGAAAGTATACTATAAAAGTGTATCAAGATGGAAGAAGAGATAAATCTTTTTATCCTATAGAAAATTTAAAAAAAGAATAAAACCTTTTGAAAGATCCCGGGACAGTTATTTTTTGTTGACAGATTTCTTTTAAAACACGACTAACAATTTCAAAGACAGCACCAGACATCTTTCTTGTAAGTTTATTGTTATATTTATTTTCAATCTCTTCTCTAAAAAAAATTAAAGTCTTGTACGGTTTAGAATATATAAAAAAAAACATTTTTTTTAAAAAAACATTAATTCTGTATTTTGATTTACATATTTAGAAACTTTATTAAAAAAATAATAATAATATATAATTGTAATAATTAAATGGTTATAAATGATATTTAAATATCATTTATAACCATTTTACATATTACAACACTTTTGATAATATCAAAAAAAAAAATTATAATTAAAGTTACTCTGTAAGATTTAGTTCACAAGACATTTCTTCATCTCGTTCAAACTGTAGAATAAGGAATGGATATCTTGTGTTTCCTTGACGAAGTGGTGGATCCATACTTATCTAAATTTGAAATAAAAAATTCAGAACAAAAATTTGAAATAAAAAATTCAAATAAAAAATTTGAAATAAAAATTTGAAATAAAAAATTCAAAACAAAAATTTTTGTTTAACTTAATTGTTCTTAATCATCTTTTCAATTATATTGACTTATATTTTTTGAAACTTTCAATTTTAAAAAATTCTTTCATTAAAAGATGTTCATATATAATAGCGAATCAAAACCATTTATTTATTACTTAATATATAGAAAATATTCTCACAGCAATTCTCACAACCAAACTTGGAAAGTCCTCACACCAATTAACACCTACGATGACTTTTACAAAGTTATTTCACATTTTCACAAGTATTCTGACATTTTAACAAGTATTCTGAGATTTTCACAAGTATTCTGACATTTTTACAAGTATTCTGACAAAATTTTCCTAATATGGACTAACTTAAGGTATACAAGGCCTGATTTTTTGTGTTATAACTACACATAATGATTACATGTTTTATTAATAAAATGAAAAGAACATTACCATTGATTTTAGTTTGCTTATATTGAATAATATAATGATTTCATTTAATTTATTATTTGATTGTTTTGTCAACACAATCACTTTTATTAAAGTTAAGTTAGAAGGCTAAATATTTACAATGAAAAAAATGTAATTCAAAATAAGCATGAATTGAAAAAAATTAAAAAAAGAAGTTAAACTACAAAAAAAATCTAAAAAAAAGTTAATTATGAACTCCCTAATACATATACAACTAGGAAAGTTAACTATGAACTCCCTAATACATATACAACTATGGACTCCCTAATACATATAAAAACTATGAAAAATATGTTTTAGGTACATATAAAAGTTGTTTTTTTATTTATTTACTGATTGCGATTTTCTATATTGCTAGAACCAAATGCAGATGTCAATGATCAAAGAAACAAATGCAGATGTTTAATGATCAAAGAAACAAATGTAGATGTTCAATGATCAAAGAAACAAATGCAGATGTTCAATGATCAAAGAAGCAACTAGAAGATTTAGAAGACATCCTGCAACAAAATTTGTTTCAAATAAAATCTATGACAAAAAAATAAAAAATTTATGTTACTTTTAAGAATATCTTGCTGTCTTGCTCATTCTATTAGTTTTTATCTCCTAATGTTCTAAAGCTCAGTCGATAATTTTTATCTCCTAATGTTCTAAAGCTCAGTCTATTAGTTTTTATCTCCTAATGTTCTAAAGCTTAGTCGATAATTTTTATCTCCTAATGTTCTAAAGCTCAGTCTATTAGTTTTTATCTCCTAATGTTCTAAAGCTCAGTCTATTAGTTCTGAAGCTAAAAATTAAAACTGAAAAATTTAAAAAATTTAAAGCTTAAACTGAGTTAAATAGTTTAATTTTGAAACTTTAAACTGAATTTTACAGAATGGTTTAATTTTACAGAATGGTTTAAATGTCAATAGCTGTAAAATCAGACTATTAACAGTGTTTAGTTAAAGTTCAATACACAACTTTTTTTTTTAACACAACTATCCTAAAAAGTTCGATAGAAGACATTAGATAGAAGAGTGAGGGCTGCTGCTTTTGACATATCAAAGGCTTTTGATAAAGTCTGCTGATTTCATCTTTTTTATTTTAACTCCCAGGTAGTTGCTTAGTTACATAGTTGCTTGTAGAAAATTTGTTTTTTTAAAAATAAAAAAAAATTCAAAACAATAATATAATATTTTTAAACTTGTTTAATTACAGATTACAGCCTTTAGTTTGAAAAAAAAAAGAATAACAAACTTGAATATCCAAATACATTAAAAAAAAAACTTACAACAAAAAACATGAATCTTTGGTCTTGATGAGGAAGCAAAAAAAGTCTAACAATAGCAGTACGGGGTATTTTATAATCATATGTTTTACCATGAAGTTGCAAAAACTTTGGATAAACTCTGATACTGTATCGACCTCTGAAAAATTATTTTATAAAAATTTAATTAATTTAATTTCATCATTATTTTTTAAAAAAAAAGAATTAAAATTTTAAATTTCATATAAAAAAAACCCAGGGTGGCCAGCCACTTTTTATCATTAAATTCCCTGACTTTTCCCTGACTCGTTTAGTTTTATTTTTAAGTGTGAGTTTTTAAATTTCTTAACTTGCTTGTAAATGCTTCCCAGTTAAATACTAAAGATATTATGAAAAACAAAATTATATAAAAAATATATATTATATATTGTATAAATATTTATTGTTATTTTTATATTTTTATACTATATAATTTACACAATCGTAATTTAAGTTTTAGACTTTTCTATATTATTACTGTGAAGTGAAGTAAGCTTTTTACTAGTATTTTAAAATGGAAATTAAAACATCACAGCAGAATAAATATCAAAATTTATAAAAATAACAACAAAGAGTTTAATAGTAAAACAAACAGCAGTCTAACAATAGTATAAAATAAATGTGCATATGCCAATATATATGCAATATATTTGCTTCTGTTTACCTAATGTTCTTTTTGGAAATTTTGATAGAAAATGAATAAATTCTTGTAAAAATGACGAAAGAGCAAAGATATAAACTAATTTTACAAATATATATCTCAGTTATTGTGAGTTAAAAAATAAACATTTTAAATGGTTTAATAATTATTTTTTTTGCTTTTAAAAAAACTGAAATACTTCAAAACAAAAATTATCTTTAAATTTAAGAAAACAATTTAAATCTTAAACAAAAATAAAGTAAATCTGTTCATTCTATTTTGCGTGATAGCATCTTTAAATCTTGTTCAGTCTCATTTATATATTCCTTATGAGTTGATTTAACTTTGTTTTTTTTGATTTAACTTTGTCAGCATTTTAATTTTCCGCAGAGTTAATTTTTTATGAATACAGTGTTGATTTTCTTGCAATTTTTCTTCTCTAATTCATTTTAATGAATCTTTTTAGTTTGAATGGGACATATTTACACATTGATTTCATTATTTACACATTACAAACTCTAACCTCCTCCTCACATGGTGAATTCCATCACAAACTTGTCTTTGGGAAATCAAAGAATTTTTTTTTTAAATTGCTGATTCAATCCCTCCTAAAAGTTTCTTTATGGTCTCATTAATCTAATTTTTTTAGATCATTTGAATAATATTTAGGGCTAAAGGGTCATGAAGTTCTAGAATATTGGAGTAAATTGCATTCTATGTCTCCAATTTGGACAAATTTGAATAAACTTTTAGAGATCAGTCTTTGATCCAAATTTCAAGAAGTTGAAAATTTATGATTTTGTTTGATTTTTGAATCAAACAAAATCATAAATTTTTAATTTCTAAATTGTATTTTATGATGCTAATAAAATTACATAATATGTATTGTATGTACAATTGTACATTAAACCATTAGACTCATCAGTAGTACAATGTCTTATATTTATGTAAAATAACAATAATAATAATAATGATAATAACAATAAAAATCAATTAATTTATTGTAGATTTTTTTAAATTTCATCAATAATGATATTTTGTGATCTCATTGGTTAACGAGTTCTGTTAATAATAAAAGTAAAGTTAATGGGTTAATAGTTATAATGGTTAATGAGTTCTGTTAATAATAAAAGTAAAAACGCTGGATCTTCTTGACTCGATGCATGGGTTTTGCTTGTGTCTCTGTTTTTATGACAAGGCAACTCATTCTATTATCTCCAAATGAGAGTACAGCTCTAAAACTCAGTTTTATAGTTCTGAGGCCGGCTGGTAGTCAGGTTTCCCGAACTCTATGGTAGCTCACTAAGAGGCTGATTCCATCAACAGCTAAAAAATATCAGAGTACTAACAGTGCCATGATGCGCATGGATGGTATCCCTGTTTGTACTTTTGGTGTGCATTGCCAAGGCTTAGGGTTTATTAGTGGAAATGAGGCAATTGCTTGGGCAATAAAACAGTGTACTGAGTACTATCTATGTTTCCAGTCAAGTTCTTTAACAAATTTAAAAATGAATAAAGTAGCAAAAACTATAAAACACAAAAAACCACAGTCATTACCAAGTTAAACCTATCATTCGCCAATATTCATGGTCTTCGAAGTAACTTTTCATCTGTTGAGTCTTATCTCTTGCAAAGTTCAAAGACCTACTTGCTCTTGGTGAGACTAATTTGAGTTCAGCTGTCTCATCTTGTGATCTTAGTGTTGATGGTTATCTTCCTTTAATTCGTAAAGACTAAAATAGTCACATGCTTGGCCTGGGCATTTAAATTCATAAGAATTCACCCATTTGTAGGGAAACTAGGTTTGAATCCACAGACTACTCTTTTATGAGCTTTCGTTTAGCGCCACTTCACTCTATCACCTTTCACTTTGTTCTATATCGCTCTCCTTCATCTCAAGACTGCACTCTTCTTGATGTTATTTCTGATTATATTGACCAAGCCCTCATTCTTTATCCATCAGCCAATATTGTTGTTGTCGGTGACTTTAATGTTCATCACACTGAATGGCTTGGCTCTAGTGTCAGTGACTCTGCAGGCATTAAGGCCCACAACTTTTGCCTTTCTCAATCCCTAACTCAAATAGTTAACTTTCTAACTCGCTTTCCAGACAACCCGAATCATTTACCTTCTCTACTCAACTTATGTCTTGTTTCTAATCCTAGTCAGTGCTCAGTTTCTCCACACTCACCTTTAGGTGCTTCTGGTCATGGTTAGGTCTCTCTAAAACTATTATCTCATTCTTCTTTACCATCAGAATCCCCCTATCATTGTACATCTTACAACTACCTTAAAGCTGACTAGGACTCTTTCCATGATTTTCTTCGTGATGGCCCCTGGGTAGAAATCTTTCATCTTCCTGTTGACAAATGTGCTTCTTACATAACTTCAAGGATTCAGGCTGGCATGGAATCCTTTATTCCCTCTCAAGGATTCCAGGTCAAGCCTCGCTCTTCTCCATGGTTTTCCTCACATTGTGCTGCTGCATTTGCTAATCGAAACCATTACTTCCATATCTATCAGCAAAACAATTTTCCAGAAAACAGACATCTGTTTATTACTGCTAGGAACCATTGTAAAAAGGTTTTGTCTAACGCCAGAGCCCGCTATTCTCTGACCATGAAATCTCATATTTCATCACAAAAATTAGGCTCTCGTGACTTCTAGTGAATCTTTAATAGTATCAATAATAAGGGCAAGTCTGTAATTCCACCTCTTTTGTATGATTCAGACTTTGTCACCTCACCTAAAGACAAAGCTGAATTGTTTGCCAAGAACTTTTCATCAATACCATCTCTTGATTCCACAAGTTGCGTTCTACCTGATATAGCCGTCAAACAGGTTGATCCATTGCTCGACATCCGTATCACTCCAGCTTCTGTATCTAAAGTGATTTCCTGCTTAGACTTTTCTACAGCTTGCGGCCCGGATAACATACCCGTTATAGTCTTGTAGAAGTGTTCTCCAGAGCTGTCATCTATCCTTTCAAAACTATTTAACAAGTGCTTATCAGAGTGTTGTTTTCCAGCCTGCTGGAAAGCAGCATCTGTTATCCCTATTTTTAAAAATTCTGGAGAGCGATCCGATTCGTCTAACTACCGTCCCATTAGTCTTCTTCCTATCATAAGAAAGGTTTTTAAATCTTTAATTAACAAACACTTAATCTCTCATCTCGAATCTCATAACCTACTTTCTGATCATCAATATGAATTTCAATCTTTTCGTTCTACGGCTGATTTGCTATCAGTAATAACCGATAGGTTTTATCGCACATTAGATAAAGGTGGAGAGGTAATGGCCATCGCTCTTGACATTTCTAAAGCGTTTGATAAAGTTTGATATGCTGGTCTTCTTCATAAGCTCCATAAGCTTTCTTACAGTGTATCTGGAAACATCTTTAGGATTATTGAATCCTTTCTTTCCAATCGTAGTATAAAAGTTGTCCTTGATGGACAGCACTCTTCTTCTTATTCTGTAACCTCAGGGGTTCCCCAAGGTTCAATTCTTGGCCTTATACTCTTTTTAATTTACATTAACGATCTTCCAGATATTCTCTCATCTAAGGTGGCACTGTTCGCTGATGATGCTACCATTTATTCTTGTCATGATAAGAAGCCAACTCCCTCTGATTGCTTGCAGGGGGCATCTGAGCTTGAAAATGATCTCACTTCTGCTACAGCATGGGGCTCACGGTGGCTGGTGAACTTTAATTCAGATAAAACTCAATTTTTTTCGGCCAATCGTTATCGCAATAATTTAGACCTTCCTATATTTATGAATGGTAATGTACTTGATGAGTCTCCTACCCTTCATCTTCTAGGATTAACTCTTACTTCTGATCTTTCTTGGAAACCTTATTTCAAATCCTTTGCAAAATTAGCATCTGCTAAAGTTGCTTCTCTTTATCGAGCTCGTCACTTTCTTACTCTGGATTCTATTCTCTATCTCTACAAATCTCAAATCCGGCCTTGTATGGAATACTGTTGCCATATCTGGGGCGGATCTTCTAATGATGTCCTTTCTCTTTTAGACAAGGTGCAAAAGCGCATTGTAAACATAGTTGGACCTGCTCTTGCAGCCAACCTTCAACCTCTGTCACATCATCATAATGTTGCTTCTCTTTCTCTTTTCTACAAATACTATAATGAGCACTGCTCCAAAGAGCTAGCGTCTCTTGTGCCATCTACAAAAATTTATTCTCGTGTTACTCGTCATTCAATTAACTCTCATCCTTTTTCTGTTACTGTTCCTAAGTGCTCTAAAAACTCTTATTTGTCTAGTTTTTTTCGTTGAACATCAGTTCTTTGGAACTCGCTTCCTTCATCTTGCTTTGCTGATTCATATAATTTGCAATCTTTTAAGTAATCTGTCAATCGTTATCTTGCTCTACAATCTTTATCTTTTCTCTCCCAGTAACAGTCCCAGGAAGCGAAGATGTTTAAAAAAAAAAAAAAAAAGAGCAGGTAAATAATATTAAATGCTATATCATTTCTCAAACATTTTTTGTTTGTCATGTGACACGTATGCAGTCTGCTGTTAGCAGAAAACATTTTCTTAAAAATGTAAAAAATTTGTTTATTTATTTTTCAAAATTCTATAATAACTATAATTATCCACTACGCTTGATGGACAAACTTGTTGAAATCAAACAGTGTAAGTTAAAAAATAGATTTTTCTGTATATTAACAGAATATTACTAGTTTTGTTGATGAAAAGACAGTATCAATTTACTATGATTGTGCAAGTCTCAGGAAGTAGCTAGTGACAATCAATATTATTAGCCTACTAGGTCTTTATAATTTTTATTTTTCTGATCTAGTAAACTCAGTGCTCACAAAAGAAGTCATGTATGACATTGTATGTTGTCTAATAAGACAATTTATAATATAGCTATATAACAATAATATATATAACAGATAACTGAATAATATTGATTATTTCCAGAGTAATGGCAAAATCCACCTTGACTCGAAGTAGCGATATAATCTTGCTGATTAGACTTCCCTCTGACAAGATAACAGGGGCATGCCTACCATCTGGTGGTGACATTATGAGAAACTTTGTATTTTATCACCGGAAGCAAAAAATATATGATAAGTATATGATAAAGTGTTGCCATTCTGGATGAAATCTAGACTTCCGATAAGACATAAACCAGATACAGTTCAGAAAATTAAAGATTTGTATAACCAGCATGTTGGATTAATCAAACACAGGTCAAGAAACAATGCAAAGGATCTTCAAAATTTAAAATATAGCAAGAAACTTGACAGTTTGTTTGATATCAGTCATGATAATTCGAATGAATTGATAAAGAATGAAGAAGACCGTTTCTCAAATTGCAGCAAGAGTCAAGAATCGGATGTATTGGGTCTGTTGACAAAAAACCTTTCACTGTAAAAAACTCTCAATGTTTTTTACAGTGAAAAGTTTTACCATCAAAGAGCAATTCAATAATGATCTCTGATGGTAAAGAATCTGCAATAAAGCTAACAGCTCAAGAATTGCAAGGAATACAACAATTCAACAGATTTGTAGTCAAAGTATCTCTTCAGTCTTGGTTTTCATATCAAATGGTTGCTGATGCACTAGTTAATGACATTCTTCTGATCTAAAGGCTCCATGATTATGACGACATTGGTTTGCAGACAGCAGGTCTGAAGATGATGGTCCGGCATTCTTGGTACTTAAGCCAAGAGCTTGCAACACTCTCTCTGTTTTCTCGACATCTATCCTGTGAAGAGAAAGCAAAGCTTGTATCGGAAATCAAAGGTGATCAAAGATTGCATTTGGTCAAGTCACTTCCTCATTCAATATCAGATTTAACAATTTCTAAAAGTTTCTTCAAAACTGCGGCGATTGACAACAGTTTTCTTGACTTGCCTGTAGAAGAATGGAATAAAAGCCAATCTTATCAGATTGTATGTGAATAGATTAAAACCTGGCGTGTGTCAATGGCTGTGCCGAATGTGATGTTGCCCTCATACAGAATTTTAATGCCACTATAAGAAAAAATGAACAACAAAAACAATATCTTCTGCAAGTTGTCGAGAAGCACAGACACAACTTTTTAAAGTCTAATCGTGACAATCTTCTCGACATATAGACAAGACTATAGAATTATAATTGGGTCAAAATTAAAACATTATACTACTGAGAACTGATGCCAATGTATTTTCTATATGTAAATTTATTAGTAGGTATCATAAAATATACCTAGTACCTAGTCCAACCATAAAAATTAAAAATTCATGATTCATGACGTAGAACACAATTTACTCCAATATTCTAGAACTTCATGGCCCTTGGGTGGTCCCTAAATATTATTTAAACGCTCTAAAAAAAATTAGGTGTTATAATGGGACCATAAAGCAACTTTTAGGAGGTAATGCATCAGCAATAAAAAAACCTTATTAGCTATTGTAACAATCCATTTGGATACATGAAGAATTGTGAGTAAATTAGTCATTCTGTTTTTTCCTGAGTTGAAATTAGAACATATAATAATAGATGAGATAGCTCTTGTAAGTTTATATCTTAAAGAACTTCTTTCTCTCAGTTTATTAAAGACTCCAATGTAAAACTGAATACAATCACTTCAAAATTGTAACTTCTAACGTTCACTTACATTTACTTTACCAAATAGCTTTTCAAGTTCTTGATATAAGAATGGTGCTAATGGAGAATCAGACTGAAAAAGTCTTAAAAACGGCTCTACAATTGAAGCCAAATATTGAAAAAAATCAATTTTAGCAGGCTTCCAAAGACCATTAAAAGCATCAGTAACAGTATAATTAATAGGTAATTTATTGAAAATCATTGAAAGCATCAGTTTACAGTATAATTAATAGGTAATTAAGACTGTGTGACAAACAATATTACATTATCATAAATACCTAAAGCTCTTTGAGCTACAGATACATTTTCAACCCATCTTGTTAAGCAAAATTTCAGAGAAAACTTATTACTTCCACAATTTTTTGATAATCTGCCCTACGAGCAAGACTATCATAAAAAAGTTTATAAAAATTTATGAGTACTGCATTAACATTCACCTTTTTATGACCTGCTTGAAATGCACCATGTACAACATGTAGGCCACATGATCCCATGAATAGATGTTTTAAACTGTTTACCAAATCTATCATTGAGAATATCAAAAAACTTCTAATTCACATTTGGTCCATCCATAAAAATTTGTAAAATTTTGGCTTCAAGATTTTCATTTAAAACACTTGTAAAACCTTTGTACAAATCATTTGCAGATGCATGACCAAAAAACACTTATGAAAAGTATCTTGTAATCATATGGTTGTGAATAACCTCTCAATAACAAATACAAATATCCATTTGACCTTTTAAAACAACTTTCTTTAAAAACTCATTAAAACATACAATTACAGTAAACTCCCGGTTGTTCGAACTGGCACTTATTCAAATTTACTGCTTATTTAAAGCAATTTTCAGTGCCCATGAATTTTCCTCAATAAACTTTATCTGCTTTAGGATTTTCAGTTATTGGAATTTTCGGTTATTCAAAGTAAATTCTTATTCCCCTAGGAGGTTCAAATAGCCAGGAGTTTACTGTATGTGTGTAGAGCTAAACACCGCCTTCAAAACAAGATCATGGAAATATGGGGCAAGACCATGTGTGATGTTATAGGCTACTTTAGTTTTCCCAATAGTAATTTTTTTTTAGCTATAAAACTGACAAGAAACATAAGGCAGGGTGAATAAAAATGAGCATTCCCTTTTACTCAGTAGTTGGTTAGCTTTACGTGAATAAAAACTTAAGCAATTTTGCTTTTAAAAGTTTTTATTCACGTAAATTTTTTTGTAAAAAAACATTACAAAAAAATTTTAAAATTTTGATATAGAAATTTTTTCCCCGGACTTTTGGAAAAAAATTAAAAATCTCTGACTTTTCCCTGATTTCCAGTTGGTTGGCCACTCTGAAAACTAAAAAAAAATCACTGCAACACTAAAAAATTACCTTGGTGTAAGACATGCTACTTCATCAAAAGTTACAATAGCATCTCCAGTAGCCTGGATAATATCTGCTTTAGACATAATTTGATCATGAAAGTTCTATGAAACATTAAAAAAGAAATGACTATACAAATTTTACAAAGAAAATAAAAAATTAAATCGTATTGTGATTACTTTGACAGCATCTTCTTCATCTTTTTCTGGAACAAAAAATCTCATTTCCATTAGCTGAACTTTTGCATCATCATTGCGATGAAACTCTATTGTTACCTCATTCTTTCCTAAGAAAACAAAATATTTTTTAAAACATAAAGTTATTATAAAATAATATTTTTTATTAGTCAAATATTTGAGTTTTTCATTTTGTTTCAAAAGTATTTCACAATTATATCATACAGACTATATTATATAAACTGGACAAAACAAATGACAATGTATTGATCGACTCCATCCCTCCATCCTCTCAGAAACCTGATCAGTTTGAAGCCAGTCCTTCTTGCTGATCTATAAAAAACCTTTCGCTACCAGTGTTGTTCCTGCTTGCACTGGTATGGTGCATAAAACTGCCATAATTTTTCTAGATTTTGCTAAATCTTTCAATAAAGTTCAATAAGGTTAGTTATTTGGTTCTACTTGTTAAACTATACATGTATGGCTTTGACAAGAGTATCTGTAGCTGGATAACAGCATTTTAATTGTACTACAGTCAGAGAGTTATATAAGGTGACTACTTTTCTAATTGGTTGGGGGCCTCTTTGGAATTTAGAAAGGTTCCATAGGTTTTTCATTTTCATGATCTTTATGAACATGCCAAGCTTCACTCGTCACTTTTGTATACTGTTTGCCAACAACACAAAGTTAATAGCGGTTATCGAAGATACTTCTGATTATCAAAATCTCTAAGAGGGCATTGACCATCTAGTTGAATAGGCCCACGCTGTTTTAAGGCTGACAATTCAAAGCTATGTTTTTTGACAAGAGAGTTTACAACCATCTTTATACAGCTTTTATTAATGACCTAACTAGCTCCCACATTATCTTCACCATGACTGATTGGTCATGATGATTTTGTGGGTAGTCAACATGGCAATAATCACAACCTAGGCAAGACCAGCTCTGAGCATGAGCTCAGCATCATTGTTACAGTACTAGGTATGTAGAAAAACCTTCCACTATTGCGATAATAATAGCTTTTGTGTATTTTATAAAACTTATGTGCATCCACATCGCGAGTTCTGGTCTTCAATATAAAATCCTTATTAATGTGATGCGGAAGTTTTGGGACAAATCTGAATTTAATTATTTGAGCATATTAATTTGTTTTTGTGGTTTTATGCATAGGCATAAACATTCTAAAAAATATAAACTTTATTATTTGAAACACAATTATCTAAAATGTTAAATGTAGCTGAAGAAGAATCTTTTCGAAAGCAAAAAGAAGAATTTTCAAAGAGAAATTTTCAAAAAAATTATTAATGTAGATAGCCATACCTGACCGTGGTATGTCCGAGCCATTGTTTCGCACTTCGAAGGCTGTAGCAATTAATTAATTGATTTATTTTGATGAATGTTTAGAAAAACAACTTTTTCCATTTATTCACAAGTATCATAGAGACTTTAACTATTTATTTTGGCCAGATTTAGCAAGTTCTTATTATTTTAAAGATTCTCTAAATTGGATGGACCAATATGTCTATTGATAATATGTGTGGTTAATCTGAAAGCTGAAAAGAATCCAAATGTGCCTCAAGCATGATTAATTGAAAACTTTCAGGGACATTTGGTACAGAAGGTTCACAAGGGAGATTGACAAGCTCCAACAGAGCAAGTTTTGATTCAGAAATCGGTTTAAATTTTTTACAGTTGCTTATGATAGGTATCAGAGTGAAATTGAGATCAATTGCAGATGTTGGTTTTATTTCATTTAAAAAATAACTCATTTTAATTAAAAAATAAACACTTTATTTAAAAAAAAATAGTTTTTTTTTCATTTATAAGTAAGTTATTGACGTTTTTATTTTGTCTGATAACTTATGCATCAACTAAGTTTAAAAAGCTTGTGCCTTGTCTCAAGCTCTCTAAGCATCAAAGAGTAGCCGCAATCAACGTATAATCACTTGAGAATAGACAGCATAGAGGTAAACTCATTCAGTATTTTGAGATGTACCAAATGCCTCAACAGTTAACTTTGTTAAGTTAAACTTTGTAAATCATATCAACTATCTTCAGCATTAAATGTGCAGCGATCTGCCAGTAGTCTCCAAGCTAGTGCCACCAACTTCAGCATTAAGCAAATGTTAACTGGGCAATTAAAGAAATTTTTTTAACTTTTTTTCGCTCCAACTCCACAATATCTACCCTATAATCAACACCTTTAAAAATCCACTAAATTTGATTTTTCTGTAACACCTGCTAAAAAACAAACCGACATTTATCATAATGGAGCTTTGTTAGTTGCCCTGTCTGCAAGTGCTTAAGCATTTCCTATAAACTACATATTATTATAATTATCAAAAAAACATAGAGGTTATCTCTCTGTCTGTGGACATTTTCATTTTCCGTGGTAAACTCAAAAACTATAATGTATAGCGAAAAAGTAAAAAAAGAACTTTTTTCTAATTCAAGTGGTGGGTAATCTTGGCAAACAAGAAATAAAGAAATAAAGAAAATTAATTTATGAAGGAGTTATGGTTGTTTTAGTAAATAAAAAACGATTTACATAATTTAAAAATAGCACCATTGTACTTTTATTTCACGTTTTTTGATGTCATTAAACAGTTTTTTTACCATTTGTGTTACAAGTTGTAAGCTTTAATGCCTGCAGAGTCACTGACACTTGAGCCAAGCCATTCAGTGTGATGAACATTAAAGTCACCGACAACAACAATATTGGCTGATGGATAAAGAGGGAGAGGGCTTGGTCAATATGATCAGAAATAACATCAAGAAGAGTGCAATCTTGAGATGAAGGAGAGCGATATAGAACAAAGAGAAAGGTGATAGAGTGAAGTGGTGCTAAACAAAAGCACATAAAAGAGTAGTCTGTGGATTCAAACCTAGTTTCCCAACAAGTGGGTGAATTCTTACGAATGTAAATGCCCAGGCCAAGCATGTGACTATTGGAGTCTTAAAGGAAGATAAGCATCAACACTAAGATCACAAGATGAGACAGCTGAACTCAAATTAGTCTCACAAAGAGCAAGTAGGTCTTTGAACTTTGCAAGAGATAAGACTAAACAGAAGAAAAGTTACTTCGAAGACCATGAATATTGGTGAATGATGGGTTTAGCGAACTTGGTGGTTTTTTGTGTTTTATAGTTTTGTTACTTTATTCATTTTTATATTTGTTAAAGAACTTGACTCAAAACATAGATAGTACTCAGTACACTGTTTAATAGCCCAAGCAATTGTCTCATTACTATTAATAAACCCTAAGCCGTAACAAAGGGCTCCAATGTGACCTTGGCAATGCACACCAAAAGTACAAACAGGGACACTATCCATGCGCAACATGGCAACTGTTAATACTTTGATATTTTTCAGCTGTTGACGGAATCAGCCTCTCTGAGAGCTACCACAGAATTTGGGAAACCTGACTACCAGCCGGCCTCAGAACCATAAAACTGAGTTTTAGAGCTGTACCCTCATTTGGAGATAATAGAATGAGTTGCCTTTTCATAAAAACAGAGACACAAGCAAAACCCATGCATCAAGCCGAGAAGATCCAGTATTCAACATCCTAAACTGGAAACAATGTATTTAAAATACATCTGCGTTAGCCTAATAGATGAAGAAGGGATGCGAGGCTGGTCAATAGATTGAATCTGTTTACCCCTTAAGTCTTTGCCTAGGAGGCCTTCTAAAAGACAACAGCCGGATGCATTAACATCTGCCCAAGATGTTAAATGCAGGTATTTTTATTGAGCCATCATCTCTAGCCTTTATTCAACCAAGATATATATATATATATATATATATATATATATATATATATATATATATATATATATATATATATATATATATATATATATATATATATAGGGGCTATTCTAGCAAAATAATTTGGGTGTTGATAGCCTTGGCCCGGTATTCGCCCTAAAGATATTTACTTTAAAATGTACAATATTTGTCAAAAAAACGTACAAAAAAAAAAAAAAAAAAAAAAAAATTTTTTGAAAAAAAAGGTTCTCAATTTTGAATTTGGGTGGCCGAAATTGGCATCTAAATATAGTCGGCGCTGTCAAAAATGGTTTAGACAACCTCCTAATATATATATATATATATATATATATATATATATATATATATATATATATATATATATATATATATATATATATATATATATATATATATATATATATATATATATATATATATATATATATAAATAAACATCAATGAATACGAATTCTCTCAATACTAATTTTTTTAATTTAATCTAAGAAATTTACGCTAGATTATTGATACTAGCATCTTCAGCTTTAATTACAAATTATTAATTGAACTCAATAACAAACAAATGGTAATGTCACTTTTTAATGGCTTCTTTAATGTTCGCTTTAATTGGGCTTCTTAAAAATTACTTAGGTATAAAAAATATGGCGTCCAGAATTGCAATTTTACAGATTGACCATCATCTAAATTCATACCTCCTTAGGTCCGCATTTGCTAAATTGAATTTCAATTGCCTTTCGAACTTTTTTTAGATTATTGAGAGAATTTGTATTCATTAATGTTTATATATTAAATTTATTCAACTCTCATACGAGATGTCATTTAAAATATATATATATATATATATATATATATATATATATATATATATATATATATATATATATATATATATATATATATATATAAAAACCTGATAAATTGATAAAATAACACCTAATTTATGTCTTAAGTTTCAAAAACTCTTTTATAAAAATTATTTTTAGAGGAAGATTAAACTTTAATTAGAAGGCACCTAATATTATTTAAAAAAAAATTCTTTAATTAGAAGGCACCTAATATTATTAAAAAAAAAATTCTTTAATGGATCTTTAGAGGAAGCTTAACTATATAAAAACTTTACCTAAATTTTATAAAATTTCTAGAAAAAAGTATTTTAAGAAATCATAAAAAAATTAATTAAATATGTTAAAAAACCACAGTTTTTTAAATTTAATAATCTAAAATAAATCAACTATATTTAAGCAATAAGTTTGCAGCTGCAGAGCATTGTCTTTTAGTAGCATCAACTTTCAACTCTCTAAAGAAATCTTATCTATTAAAGGCCAGTATGTTCCTAAATAAGAGAGATACAAGAAAGTCTTTGGCTCTAGTTGATTTGAAGATAAATATTGATGCCATGTTGTTATAATTTTAAAAAGCAAATACACTACAACTACTAGAACAAAGAAATATTTTCAATGAATAAAAAATAATACTAAACAAACCAGTAGTAGCTTGAGAAACATCTTGTAATGGGATTTCAAAAGCAGCTTTGTTTTCTACTTCAAATGACATCACTGATCCTAAAAATTTTAAAAGTTTAAAACGTAAAACATTTCAGTTTACATTTTGAAAGAATATGTAATGATAATCCATAACTTTTATGTCAAATATTTTATTTTAATAACTAATTTTTTATTAAGTACATGGACTAAATAGTATAAAGAGTTTATTATCTATCTGCTGACAAATAGACAAAATAGTATAATCATTACTGTCTGCTGAAAAATAGATTTCTTATGTCATCTCTTGGATTCAGGTCTTCTTTCCTCTCCGATTGCAGTACCAAATTTATCTTTAAAAGACAATATTTATCTCCATTTGCAGTAAACTTTGGGGTGCACAAGGTTCCAACCTTAGGTAATACATTGCTTGTTATCTTCGCCTATGTGTTTCCTAGGTGACACATTGCTTGTTATCTTCATTAACGTATTTTTGAAAAAACTTGCCATTAATGAAACTTTATTTGGAGATGCAATATATTTATATTTTGATGCAATATACATTTGCCTTATATTTAAATACAGTCTGGATAAAAAGTTATCTCTTTGATTACTTAGAGCATCCTTTAAACAATCTCTTATTGATTTCCTGAGATTCACAATGACAAATGAATTTTAGCTTAATAATGTATTTTTGAAAAAATTAATAACTTTGATATTCTTGATAGAACATGACTGTCTGAATACTCTCCTACTTTATATATTAAATAACAACTGACTAAATACTTTTCTCATTTATATCTTAAATAACAACTGACTGAGTACTCTCCTATTTTATATTTTTAACTATCTTTTACTGCAAACCTCTCCTAGAAATTAAATCTTTTGCAAAATTCTACTGAGGTTCAGATTTTATAATTGATTTGATTTCTTAACTGGTTCAATTCATTTTGCTTTTATTTTTCAAGTAAAAACTAGTCGTAACGCTAATCTTAAGAGCCTTGCTCAATAATTTATTACAAATGACCTGGTAACCAGCTTTTTCAAACAAATTTTATTTGAGTTTGATTCAAATGCAAATTTATTGTGCTGATATACAGTATTGCGCAAATTAATTGCATCAAAATCAAAAACAATAAAAAATCCAGGAAATTTTAAGTTTTTTTTCTCCAATATAATACTTATACACTAACATTTTGTGTGTCCTCCTAGTGCTCTTATGACTTTATGCACACGATTCAGCATAGAATCTACCAAATTTTTACAAATTTTTTGAATTTCTGGCTCTTCAAACCAAGTCTGAAGAATAGTGGTGGTAAGCTTAGTTTTAGTGGTGCGGCCATATTTTCGCAGTTATTTTTTTATAATTGCCCTGAGATTCTCAATTGGATTGAGATCTGGGGAGTTGCCAGACCATATCTTCAATTTTTTAAAAATAGTATGATTATACAAATATACTAAATAAACTAGCTGTAAATTTAACAACTATATTGCTGCATCTTTCTCCATTGTTCTTTAGTTGACTTTTATCCTCCTTTGCCCACAAGACGACACTTCTTTATTATAGTATCTGTAAGCAATGGTTTTTTAGAAGATGTTCTGGCAAACCTTTTAACAGCTACCAACCTCCTCAGCACAGCACTCAAGCAGACATTGATGTTGTGCTAAATCATTTATTAGTTGGTCACTTTTTTAGATTTTTGACACTCTCCAGCATCAGATATTTCTCACAGAGATTTTTTGTTTTTGATCACATTTGTCTTGTTTTAATGGCGAACAGCTGCTTGTCACAAAGTAATGCTTTTGACCTGGCTAACTGTTGATTGGGTAACTGAAATAATGAGGCTATTTTCCCTTGAGATTTATCAGAATACTGAAGTTAAGCTAATTTTATATATTTATCTTGGTGTAGTGTCCATCTTTGTTTATTTACTTTTTTTTAAATTTATTTATTCTTTTAATGACAGTTAAATTAGAGAAAAAATAAAATAAAATATTGTGCAAATCAATTGCATTCAATGTTTGATGCAATTAATTTACACAATAATAATATAAAATTGACATAAAGTAGCAATTTAAATTACAAGATGATATGACTAATGGTGTCAAAGCTGTTGATAAGTCAAAAAAAACTGAACTGGTCATATTACCTATGTTTGTGGCATTTCTCATATTGTCTACAAAAGAAGCTAATTTAGTTGATTATATCGAACCACATCCAAATTGATGGTTGTTCAGTAGAGTGTTGAACTCCAGATATTTAACAAGTTATTGATAGGCTACCTAAAGTATTTTTGAAAACACAAACAGGTTGAGTTGGTACTGCTAGAGGTGTATTATGATCTTGGTACTTCTAGAGTATAATGTATTATGGATTTGAACCTCAAACTTCTTGATTGTGAGGCAAAAGTTCAACATTCTACTACCATAAGTTTTAACCACTAGTCTTCTACCACAAGTTTCAACCACTAGTCTACTACAACAAGTTTCAACCACTAGTCTTCTACCACAAGTTTCAACCACTAGTCTACTACCACAAGTTTCAACCACTAGTCTTCTACCACAAGTTTCAACCACTAGTACAACATGTTTCATTGGTATGTTTGCTTAAATGCTTTTAGTAGCTTGTTACCTTATGATGCTGAAACATTTGTTTTTATGTCTTATGATGCTGAAACATTTGTTTTCTGTCTTATGATGCTGAAACATTTTCTAAACATCAATGCATTTGGTAATTCTAGTTCTTCATAAAAATTGATTACAGTAGACTTGGTCACAAAACAAATTTTAGTTTTTACCCCTTTTATTTTTAATTGTTAATAAACTTCATTTAAAGGTTTATTTTTTCAGCCTTATAGTGTTTGAAGTTATATAGTTCTTTATTGAAGTGAAGTTATAGTTCTTTATTCAAAGTTCATGTGGTTTATTTGTGGGGTTTTTTTTTTTTTGCACATCAGATCATGTTTTAATTGCTAATTAAAGTTAGAAAAATGCCTGGATATTAGCTCAGGATTATAAGTAGATATTATGCCGATTAATGTTTGAAAGTCATAAGTAATTTGTGTTGCTTGCCTTATTTAAACTTTTGTATATTTAGAACATAGAATACACCTAAATACAAACCTCCACCTTTTTTACTCTTATTTTTTAAATTATTATTTATAATCCATTTATTTAAAATATAAACCTCCACCGTTTTCTACTATTCTTTTTTAAATAATCATTTATAATCTGTTTATTGAATACATATGTAGTTATTGTCATATGCTTGTTTATGCATTTCAGATAAAGACATTACAAGAGTACAATTGTGATTTCATAATATATTCTAGTTGTTTAAAACTGATATGTAACAGCAAAAGTTACTGTAAATAAAAAACTTATGGCAAAAAGCCATTGTAGTGGCTCCATGGGGCTACTACAGATGAAGGGCAGCTCATTTTATGGAATTTTTTATTTGCAAAATAATTTTTATTATTTATAACCGTCTTTCAACGTTGAACTCCAAAACACAAACATTAAAAAAAGCTGTAGGAGAAACAGGTTGATACATTTTCATAGCTTAAAAGTAAATCAGTTAGACCAGGGCAGGGCAGATAACATAAACATAAAAATTTAACTAAGTTTTTTTTACACAAAACTTCTTTTCTCTTTTGTAATTCGATAAAATAAAAATTAAAAATCCATTTAAATTTTGATATAGCTTCCAAAATTTATTAGATTCATGTCTATTAGATCTTGGAAGCTATATGTAAAGTTTTTATGTAATCCATACACTAGCATAAAAACTTTCAGTATAGCTTCCATGATTTAATAGACTCATGTCTATTAGATCTTGGAAGCTATACTGAAAGTTTTTATGCTAGTGTATGGAATTACAAAAAAGTAAAAAACTTTTGTGTAATTTCTAATTCCTGAGCCAATATACACTACAGGCATTTTTCTAACATATATTTTATCATTTGTAACAGAACCATCTTTTTTTTAAAACATAAATATAACAACAAGTGTAAGAAACAAGTCTGTCATTTTTTAAGCGTAAGAAACAAGTCTGTCATCTTTTAAGCGTAGGAAACAAGTTTGTCATCTTTTAAGAGTAAGAAACAAGTCTGTCATCTTTTCTATTAAAATTGATAATTTAATAAAAAAAAACTTTTATTAAGTTAATAAACAAAGCTCAGAAAATTGATTTTTTTTCAGAGACATTTAACGTAAGGTACAAGCAAAGGTACAAGGTACAAGCTTAAACATTTAGAATATGATGCACTTAGGAACAGCAACACAAGAGTTAATTTTAGTAGGTGGCACAAGAAATGCTAGCTCTTTAGAGCAGTGCGCATTATAGTATTTGTAGAAAAGAGAGAGAAGCAACATTACCATGATGTGATAATGGTTAAAGGTTGGCTGCATGAGCAGGTCCAACTATGTTTACAATGCATTTTTGCACCTTGTCTAAAAGAGAAAGGGCATCATTAGAAGATCCACCCCAGATATGGCAACAGTATTCCATACAAGGCCGGATTTGAGATTTATAGAGATAGAGAATAGAATCCAGAGTAAGAAAGTGTCGAGCTCGATAAAGAGATGCAACTTTAGCAGATGCTAATTTTGCAATGGATTTAATATATAGTTTCCAAGAAAGATCAGAAGAGTTAATCCTAGAAGATGAAAGGTAGATGACTCATCAAGAATCTCTCCAACTTTATCTAATACGCGATAAAATCTTTCGGTTATTACTGTGAGCAAATCAGCCATAATTTGATGATCAGAAAGTAAGTTGTTAGATTCAAGATGAGAGATTAAGTGTTTGTTAATTAAAGATTCAAAAACTTTGCTTATTTATTTTTTTTTTTTAATTATTCACCTCCCCAAGACCCGAAGGGGCCACTACAGTCGAGGAGGCTACTAATTTTTTTTTGTTGTAAATCGTGGTACAACCCTCAACTCTTTAACTCTGAAACACGAACCTTGACAAGCAAGGCCACTGCGCAGAGAAATTAATTTGAGCGCGGTACTTCCAGGGACATGGTGGGAGTCGAGCTTATGATAAGAAGAAGACTAATGGGACGGTAGTTTGATGAATCAGATCGCTCTCGAGAATTTTTAAAAATAGGGATAACAGATGCTGCTTTCCAGCAGGCTGGAAAACAACACTCTGATAAGCATTTGTTGAATAGTTTTGAAAGGATTGACGACAGCTCCAGAGAACACTTATGCAAGACTATAACAGGTATTTTGTCCGAGCGGCAAGCTGTAGAAGAGTCTAAGCAGGAAATCACTTTAGATACAGAAGCTGGAGTGATACGGATGTCAAGCAATGGATCAACCTGTTTAACGGCTATATCAGGTAGAACTCAACTAGTGGAATCAAGAGATGATATTGATGAAAAGTTCTTAGCAAATAATTCAGTTTTGTCTTTAGGTGAGGTGACAAAGTCTGAACCATACAAAAGAAGCCGAATTACAGACTTGACCTTATTATTAATACTATTAAAGATTCTCCAGAAGTCACGAGAGCCTAATTTTTGTGATGAAATACAAGATTTCATGAGAATAGCAGGCTTTGGCATTAGTCAAAACCTTTTTACAATGGTTCCTAGCAGTAATAAACAGACGTCTGTTTTCTGGAGAATTGTTTTGCTAATAGATATAGAAGTAATGGTTTAAAGTAATTTTTAAAAATGAATAAAGTAATTTTTGTTACTTTATTCATTTTTATATTTGTTAAAAAACTTGACTCGAAACATAGATAGTACTCAGTATACTGTTTAATAGCACAATTGCCTCATTACTATTAATAAACCCTAAGCCGTAACAAAGGGCTCCAATGTGGCAATGCACACCAAAAGTACAAACAGAGACACCATCCATGCGCAACATGGCACTGTTAATACTTTGACATTTTTTAGCTGTTGATAGAATCAACCTCTCTGAGAGCTACCACAGAGTTCGGGAAACCTGACTACCAGCCGGCCTCAGAACCATAAAACTGAGTTTTAGAGCTGTACCCTCATTAGGAGATAATAGAATGAGTTGCCTAGTCATAAAAACAGAAACACAAGCAAAACCCATGCATTGAGTCAAGAAGATCCATAATTTGACATCCTAAACTGGAAACAATGTATTAAAAATACATCTGCGCCAGCCTAATAGATGGAGAAGGGTTGCAAGGCTGGTCAACAGATAGAATCTGTTTACCCCTTAAGTCTTTGCCTAGGAGGCCTTCTACAAGACAGCAGCCGGATGCATTTAACATCTGTCCAAGATGAGTATTTTTATCAAGACACCATCTCTAGCCTTTACTCAACCAAGAGCCCCAAGGCAGGGGGTGTTTAATGTCAGAGTTGGCATCTCCTAGCCAAACTAGTGCAAGAGAATAAACATTTGACTTAAAAGTGCAAAAAAATAAACTTCTCTAGTGCAAAACAATAAACTTTTGACTTTAATTTGATTTGTTAACAACAACAATTTATTCAAATTCATTCAAACTTTTAACAACAATAGTTTATTCAAAAAATGTATTCAAACTTTTAAAATAAATTTAAAACTATTTCAAAAATAAATTTCAATACTTCTTGATTTTAACTTTTTGCTTTAAACTATTCATTTATCTTAACTTTAATATTGTAAATAATAAGAATAATGATAATAATGGATTTAAATTATAGATCTTTAACTCTTTATAGATCTACCTAATAAATCACATTTCTATATAAATTTCTATATAGATAATTTCTATTGTCATACAAATATGTGAAACATGGCTTATCCTGCAAATTATCCTACAACTATTTGTAGAATATTTTTGTTACATTGTAGATGCTAATACATTTTTTTAATATATTTATTACTTGTATATACCAATACAATTTTGAAATGGTATTAGTGTGAAAATTATTTTTAAATATGTGAAAGCTGAAAACTACCTGAAATGTAATAATGAAAAAAAATTTTATAACAGAAAAAAACCTTTAAACTTTGCTTCTCCCCAATTCCAACCAGAGACACTTAAGTCTTGATCTTCCAATTCCATTACAAAATTCTTTGCATAGAACTCTTTTACCTTTTCATAATCCTAAATATTTTTTGATTTAAAAATTATATTCAAGCCAAAGTTGTCTCTCACAATTATTATGAGAATTAACTTGATTAGACACAAAAAATACTGTTTTTTAGAATCTGTTTCATTTTGAACAAAATATCTTGAAAAATATGAAATCTGAAATTTACTAGTTGTTTGAGTAGAGTAACCATTTAAGTTACAAAAATATTTATGTTTTATATTATATTAAAGTAATGGAGATTCTAAGTCATTGGAGTATTCAAGTTAAAGTCAGATATTAGCATACTTAAGGTAAATGTTAAAGCTTACCTAGGCTTTGTACTTTTTATAGTTACCCCCTAAATTAAAATAATGTTCTGTGAGATTTTTTTTTAGTTTTTTTTTTTTGTAGAAAATAATGCTACAAAGAATTAATTTTAAACAATTTTTTGTTTTTTCTTTAGTTAGTACTTTTAATTTATTTAATAACTATAACTAAATAAAATAAAAACAAATGCATTCTATAGACTTTATTCTATAGGCTATTTTTCTCTTTTCTTAATCATGCCCTCTTATTATAATAATTGTCTAACACTGTTTCCCATTCAGACCGCAAGAAATAATGTTGTGTAACTCAAATAAATTATGGTTTAGTATTATGGCAAGGATCATAAAATCTCCAATTGTTTTTAAAATCAAAAGGACTACCACATACAGATTTTTTTTTGGAGAGGGGGTATTTTAAAGACTGAAATAATAGTTGGAAATGGGGTCACACTGATCTGTCTATCAAACATCTCATTTTACAAAAACTGTATGCTGGAACACATGCAAATATTTTTTTTTGAGTAGCTCATTTAAGAACTTGCAAATATATTAGTTTTTAATATCAGCGAAACACGCATAATTTTATAAGTTTTTCAATTATTTTTATGAATTTAATTAATTTTTATGATATTATTGAATGACTAATTGAGATACTTTGTATTTATAATAATTTGCTTTAAACAATAGCAACAAACATTTTTGTAGACCTAAACAACTTGCTCCAAATAACAGCAACAAACTTTTTGTAGACATAAACAACTTGCTTTAAACAATAGCAACAAACTTTTTGTAGACCTAAACAGCTTTATTTATTTTTTTTATTTTACTTCACCTCCTCAAGGCCGAGAAGGCCACTGCAGACGAGGAGGCTACTTATTTTGTGGCTATAACCTTCTCTCAACTCTATAACTCCGAAACACGAACTTTGACGAACAAGGCCGCTGCGCGGAGAAACGAGCTTGCTCCAAACAGCAACAACTTTTATAGACATAAACAAACATATTGCTACAAACAGCAACAAACTTTTTGTAGACACACTAATGATGTTCTTATAATTTGTCAAAAAAAAAGTAAAATCTTTTATTTTTATCTACAGACTTTTTTTTTTTTTTTTAATTAGGGATATATCAACATAGATGGCATTTATACGCCTAAATAAATACATAATAAAAAGCAAATATAAAAAAAACAAAATACAGGCCTTCTCGTAAGAGACGTGTGATCGCACGCCTTATATGACCACGCATGTAGTTCTTTGTTTCAACAACTTGACCATGGCTCTTTGCTAGTTTTGATAATTAGCGCGTTTAAAAAAAGCGCTAAAAAAAAATAAAGCAAATGTAAATGCGATTTTTAATTTAATTGATTCTGTAATTACAATTAAACTGCCACAAAATTTCCTGAGTACTTCAATGCAACTTAATAAAAAACAATTATTGAAAAAAATATTCAGATTAGAGTTGAAGGCAAAATGAGTACAGAAGCTATCAAAAACTAATTTTAACCGCTTTAATATAGAAATATAATTTACTAAAAAAAAGAATTACAAGAATCTTAAAACAATCGCATCTTCCAACTATTTTTATCCCAGGACGTGACATAACTTTTTTTTTAATGAAAGTTGACTTGCTTATCTTTATTTATTGACGAATGTCTAATTTAAGAGACTTATGTCAAATAAATTTCAAATAATTTTTATTCTAAATAATAAGTCATTAAATATATCAAAGATGCTTGGTAAATTTATTCAATTTTTATTTTTCAAAAACTTTTTTTTTTTTTACACATTTGCACAGTGCGCACAAATTAATGATAAATGCACAATAAAAAAACTAAAAGTATTTTTAATATGCAAACAAACATTATTTAACTTTATGGAAAATAAGAAAATTTTAAAAAAAAAGCATGCAAAACTTTATTTATAATGAACTGATTTGCTTTAAACTTTTAATGTAACTGCTAAAAACATAAAAGAAACCATTTTTAAATATTAAAGTGAGTTACCACTCATCCGTTTTTATACGGGAACGGGACAGGAAAAGAAAAAATAATCAAGTGAGCATACGTAGTTTTACTTCGGACAAATTAAAACTTATAATACGCAAGCCCACGTGATTATTTTTCCCTTCCCTTTCCTGTTCCCGTGAAATAACAGATGAGTAGAAACTCACCTTTATGATCTCTTTATTTAATAAAAGAAAGCAATCAAAACATTTAAGCACGGTTTCTTTTGAAGTTTTTGCAAAAGCATTCATTTTAAGTAAAATTATGCATGCTTTTGTGAGCGCATGCAAAAACCATGCAAAAATATAATTACTTTCTTTTATAGCGTACTTAGTTATTTTACTTAAAAGTAACACTATTGAAAAAAGTAATTATGTTTTGGCATTTTTTTTAAAAAGTCTCTGAAATTAATTTTTATTTTATTTTAAATATGTGTTTTTTATAATAAATAAAAAACTATTAATAATAATAATAATAATAATAATAATAATAATAATAATAATAATAATAATAAACTAATAATAAATAAAAAACTATTGATCGCAAAATTATTTAAAAAAAAAATGCTGAAGTAATGCGTTCGTTTTGAAAAATCTTAATCAAATGTTCGTTTGTGTTCCTTTTGAAAAATCTTCAGGTCTTTTAAGAAATGCGCACAGATTGTATCGTACTAACTTTTAAATAAAATTTTAAATTTGCACCACAAAATTTTATTAAATTTCATGGCACTTTTAAACAGCCTAAGTTACATACATTTTTAAACATCAATTTTTAAAAAAATAAATAAAAAATCTGAGGGGGGGTGGGGGTGGGGAGGAGAGAGAGGGAAGACGCCCTCATGACCCTTACCCTCACTATGGATCCGCCATTGTATTAGCTTAATTCATGGGAAGGAATGACAAAGATTATTAGAGCTGTGACATTTTTTTTTTACTTTTGCTTACAATTAAGTTTACATTAATTAATAAATGTTTTGACTTTTTTTTCTGGTTTTTCCTTTATTTTATCATTCTTTAAATATTTTATTTTTTTAGGTTAATTTTTGTTTTATATATTTTTTTAAGGATTTTATTCTCTTTTCAGTTTATGGATTGTTTATTTTAATTTTAAGTTGCTTTGTTTTTTTTAGCGCACTTTTTAAATGCGCTAATTATCAAAACTTGCAAAAAGCTGTGGTCAAGTTGTTAAAACAAAGAACTAAATGCATGGTCATATAAGGCGTGCGATCACACGCCTCTTACGAGAAGGCCTGAAATATGTCATTTATAAGTAAAAATAAACAAAGAACACATGAAAAAAAAAATAATAATAAAAAATAAAAAAAGTTTTACATTAAAAAAACTTAAATAACAAAAGTTTATTTTACCTTAAAAAATATAAAAAATTAAATTAAAAATAGTAAAAAATCAATGTAACAGTCTTTTTAATTAAAAAAAAAAATTGGAAACAACTTAAATAGCTCAAGAGAAATAATAAACCATAGTTTATTTATATGTGTTTTATTAACTGCATAGATGCACCCCAGCTTGTCTAATACAAAGCACTGCTTTGTTTTAGTATTTTTATTGTGTTTACTGTGTTTTCTGTGAAGGAGATCTCAAGATTAAATCCTGCCAGAGGTTTAAGTATTTTAGGGGTTTGTGACTTGACATTATTGCATCTTATTTTAGAATTTGATAAGTATGTGACTTGACACGAAACATATAGAAGTATGTGACTTGACACGAAACATATATTATTGCATCTTATTTTAGAATTTGAGAAAATTGGCAAGGCCTCAGCAAGAATGAATTTCTATCCATCATTTATCTGCTATTAAGAATTATTGTCCTATACTCCATTATCTCCTATTCATTTCAATTTTGACAAATTTTAATACACATTTGTATATTTAATACACATTTGTATATTCTTATAGAGTTCTTGGCATTATTAACTCTAAAGATCATACCATTGTGGAACCACAAAAAATATCAAACAACTAAATAGTTTTAAATGACAAAAGCAAAATTTTTACTTCTAATAAGTTTACACTTTAGACAATATACACTCAGACTGAAACTTTTTAATGTATACTGTTTATGTCCTATGCAAATATTAAACAAATTACCAAAACGTATATTGAGTATGTCTATTCAGTATATTCAGTAAGTCTATTTACATTTATATTTGTATCATATTTATATATATTTATATCCAGTATATCTTTATTTACAATTTAACTCTGATGTCAGAGTTTCACTTTTTAACTCCTTAAGGAGCTTTTGAATATCTTGTTTTCAAATCAATTTTTGAGACTTTCTGTTATGATGTGCCCTTTGAAAAATCTAGTTACAAAGACAACTATTTATTAGCCTAAATTTTGAAAAACCTTTTTACACAAGCAACAATTATGGGGTCATCTCTAAACTCTAAAAGATGAATGTTCAATAAAAATATAAGGATCTAAATCTTAAAACTACCTCTTCAATCATTAAATTGTTTTTTTTAGCTCAAAACATGTTTCCCATTTCTTTTACATTAAAACTTAAAACTCTCAAATTCAACTCTTTTTTTTTTCTTGACTTTTTATTGCCAACTCCTTATTGTTGTAACCAAGCAGATCAATAAAAAATTTTGGGAAAACTGCAAATATCAAAAACCAACAAATACTATAAAAATCTTATTGTTAGAACTTGAAAATACAAATAAATACCAAACTTTGTTACAAATAAATACCAAACATAGTTCAATCAAAAAAGAATTTCATTAATTTTAACAATATCCAAAGAAGATGATGCAACTAATTTGAAGATGATGCAACTAATTTTTCAAACTTTTTTTTTTTCCCTAAATCTTGAAAAAAATTTAAAACAATTTTTAAATAAAACTTCATTTTAGTTTTAGCTCAATTTCTTATGTTGTTTCTATGTTGTTGTTTATGTTGTTTCTATGTTGTTGGAGGTGGTTCTCTAAAAGAGTTTAAATTTCTTATGTTGTTTCTATGTTGTTGGAGGTGGTTCTCTAAAAGAGTTTAAATTTCTTATGTTGTTTCTATGTTGTTGGAGGTGGTTCTCTAAAAGAGTTTAAATTTCTTATGTTGTTTCTATGTTGTTGGAGGTGGTTCTCTAAAAGAGTTTAAATTTCTTATGTTGTTTCTATGTTGTTGGAGGTGGTTCTCTAAAAGAGTTTAAATTTCTTATGTTGTTTCTATGTTGTTGGAGGTGGTTCTCTAAAAGAGTTTAAATTTCTTATGTTGTTTCTATGTTGTTGGAGGTGGTTCTCTAAAAGAGTTTAAATTTCTTATGTTGTTTCTATGTTGTTGGAGGTGGTTCTCTAAAAGAGTTTAAATTTCTTATGTTGTTTCTATGTTGTTGGAGGTGGTTCTCTAAAAGAGTTTAAATTTCTTATGTTGTTTCTATGTTGTTGGAGGTGGTTCTCTAAAAGAGTTTAAATTTCTTATGTTGTTTCTATGTTGTTGGAGGTGGTTCTCTAAAAGAGTTTAAATTTCTTATGTTGTTTCTATGTTGTTGGAGGTGGTTCTCTAAAAGAGTTTAAATTTCTTATGTTGTTTCTATGTTGTTGGAGGTGGTTCTCTAAAAGAGTTTAAATTTCTTATGTTGTTTCTATGTTGTTGGAGGTGGTTCTCTAAAAGAGTTTAAATTTCTTATGTTGTTTCTATGTTGTTGGAGGTGGTTCTCTAAAAGAGTTTAAATTTCTTATGTTGTTTCTATGTTGTTGGAGGTGGTTCTCTAAAAGAGTTTAAATTTCTTATGTTGTTTCTATGTTGTTGGAGGTGGTTCTCTAAAAGAGTTTAAATTTCTTATGTTGTTTCTATGTTGTTGGAGGTGGTTCTCTAAAAGAGTTTAAATTTCTTATGTTGTTTCTATGTTGTTGGAGGTGGTTCTCTAAAAGAGTTTAAATTTCTTATGTTGTTTCTATGTTGTTGGAGGTGGTTCTCTAAAAGAGTTTAAATTTCTTATGTTGTTTCTATGTTGTTGGAGGTGGTTCTCTAAAAGAGTTTAAATTTCTTATGTTGTTTCTATGTTGTTGGAGGTGGTTCTCTAAAAGAGTTTAAATTTCTTATGTTGTTTCTATGTTGTTGGAGGTGGTTCTCTAAAAGAGTTTAAATTTCTTATGTTGTTTCTATGTTGTTGGAGGTGGTTCTCTAAAAGAGTTTAAATTTCTTATGTTGTTTCTATGTTGTTGGAGGTGGTTCTCTAAAAGAGTTTAAATTTCTTATGTTGTTTCTATGTTGTTGGAGGTGGTTCTCTAAAAGAGTTTAAATTTTTTGCCGAAGTAATACGCCTATTTAATTTGCAATTTTTTTATTTCTATGTAAAAACAATAGTTATTTGTGCCATTATCAGATTTCTAAGTTTAAATGAGAAACTTTACAAAAATGCTATAAAAAGTTTAAGCTTAAAACATTGTCTCTATTGTCTCTTGTTTACATTGTCTCGATTGTCTCTTGTTTAATTCATTTTTACAATATTGTTCTATTATCTATCAATATTCCTATTATAAGTCTTTTTGCTTCAATAACTTGTTTTATTACCATTCTTTTTTTTTCAATAAATTTTTTGTATCAACATAATTATAACAGGGTTTTTTTTTACAAAAACTTTAATTAAACCTGCATAGAATTTTCTGATTTAAGAATTTTCAAACATCTATCTTCATATAATATACTATATCATAAAACAAGAAGAAGTTTTCAACAAAAGAAATTCAACAGAACACATAATATTCGATTTATATAGTATTACTAAATCTTTTGAAAAATCACAATATGATGGGAATATATATGCTATATACTCTCAATATATGTTAGGGGTTTTCATAGATCTTTTAAAAACCTATGATGATGGATCACAAAATTTTCATAAAAAATTGAATTTTATTGAATTAAAGAAAATGTCTTGACTTAAAAGTTATTTAAATAGTTGTTAATAATTTGCTTATAGTAACACAACTTTCTCATCCAATTTATTACATATAACTAATCGGGTCTCTCAGAGTACTATACTAGGACCCCCTTTTTTATGATAATTCACCTCCCCAAAGCCAAGATCACTACAGTCAAGGAGGCTGCTTTATTTGCAGTTATAACCCTCTCTCAAAGCTATAACTTTGAAACACAAACCTTGACAAACAAGGCAGCTCCATAGAGAAACAAGTTAAATACCAGGAAAGTGGCAGGGATTGAACTCAGAACTTCTTCCTTATGAAGCGACCACTCAAACACTATGCTACTACTATACTATATATACATTTAATGGGTATGGGGTATTATATTAAAATAAATATATAGTTTGTTATACATAAAAATTCGAAACTAACTCTGCTCCTTTGTTTCTTTCTGTCATCTATATACTTTAAAAATAAAAAATAAATACAACATAAAAAAAAGATTTTTTTAAACTAATTTTGGAAAGTCATGCATTTTATTTTATGGAGCTTTCTTTGGAATAAAATAAATTTTAAGCATTTTGATTTCCTTTGAATGGAATTACCTTTTATTCAAAAAAAAACTAAAAGAAATCATTTCATCTTTTTAAGTCATTTTTATATTTTTAACTGTTTTATGATATATAAGTTAATATATAAGAATATAACCTTAGTAATTTTTAAAAAATACCATGAAGTAAATTAAGTTATTTTGTGAAATATTTATAACATTCAGTGCAATTAAAAAGTTTTATAAGGAATTTAAAAAATACCACTTCTTTAAATCCATGGTATTTTTCTTGATGGCCATTTTTAAGCACTAATTTAAGCCCAAAGCCTCGTGCAACTCTCATCCATTTTGATGACTGAATCTCAGCTACTGGAGTGGAATCTACCTTTCCTGTTTTGTATGATTTAAAAATGGTGCCACTTTTGTTCAGTTTTAATCGACCAGGATTCTAAAAATAAACAAACAAGAATTTATAGGCTTTTGTAAAAAATCTCAATTAATTTTTTTATGATGCAGAAATAAATAAAAATACATTTTCATCATGCTCTCCTTATCAGACAATATTATAATCATTCAAAAATCCGTCTGATTTTAAAACTTGCAGATCACATGATTCAATAGATATAACTATTTATTAATAAATAATAAAGTATTTTTTCAGTTTTTTATTTGCAAAATTTACTAGTCTATTGTGCTCATTTTAAAAGTTTAGTGTAAGCTTTGAATGTTTAGGGTAGAATGCAAGAAGCGAAATTAAATTTGAAGTCGTACTTCAAGTCTGAAATTTGACTTGCAAATACAAAGAGCGAACTTGAACTTAAGCTATATTTGAAAACCGGTTGTTTTCAAGTTAGACTTAAAAAGCCAACTTGAGAAAGCAAAATCTTTTCTGAATGCAAGAAGCAAACTTGAAATTTCAAGGTATACTTCAAATCTGAAGTCTGACTAAAGTATAATGCAAGAAGCATTTTGTTGATACTTTTTGAGATAATCCAAAAGTATCAACCAAGAAAATCTTTTATATTGATAAAGTAAATGAAGAGCTTAATCTGAAAAAAAAAGTATTAACTTGTGAAATAAAAATAACATTCAAAAACATAGAAATTCTCTAATAAAATAATCCTCAAAATTGTTTTTATTAAAATCGGTGTATTAATATGTAACATTTTGTATATTTTTAGTTAATTTGTGTTTTAATGTCATAATACTTTTGTTATTTTTTTGGCTTTTCTGGTACTTCAAGTTTTCTGATAATATCATAAGACTCATAAATATGAGTCACTGAAGTTCATATTTCAAATATGAACTTCAGTGACTCATTTGTTCATTCGGTATATAATGATATTGATATTGTAAAATGCTATATGTAAAGAGCAAAAAAGTGAACTTTTTATTGTATCAATAGTTGTATCCTAAAAAAATATACTTTTAACCATTAAGTTTTTTGAACCTTAAAATAATTCAAACTCTAAAATTAGATTATCCCCATAAAATTTTTAAAATAGAATTAAATGATTGTGGCAATATTTACAAAATATTGTCTCTTGTTAGAATATTGGAGTTTAATTAGGCCAGTTTCACCAGTCATCTTTTCCTCTCTTTTACTAAAATTCAAAAAATAAATAGGTTTATTTAGCCGAAATTAATTATTTATTTTATAAACTTAATAAATGTAAAAAAACTTTTTCTCTAATTCATATATTGAACCAAATGGACACTCTCTTCCTGACACTTTAATGTTACAAGTCAGCCTAAACAGAGACAATTTTTTGCAAAACATCCTTATTTGACATAAGTATAAACATGTAATTGTTTGGAGTTTGCACCATGTTTGGAAGTTAGCTATCTTAAAGACAGAATATATTTTTGTTATAACAGTTAACAATTCGGCTGAATTGTTAACCGTTATAACAAAAATATATTTTGTCATACATTAGATGAATTATAACTTGTGTTAATCATTTTTAAATACCATCTATAAACATCATATTTGTCCTGGTATTGAAAACTATTGTCATAATTTTTAACTAATTTTCTACTTCTACCTTTTAAATTTTTCAAGTTTGACTTTCTCAAGCATGATTTTTAAGTTTTTAAGTTTCATTTACGCATTTGCTTGAGCTTTTTTTTCAAGTCTAACTTAAAACAAAGTTAGACTTAAAAGTTCAAGCAGAATTTCACTCAAGTTTACTTCTTGCATTTCACTCTAAGTGCAATTCTAAAATGTGAATATGATTGCAAAGTACTTTAAATACTCAAAAAAATTTATTGAACATTATTAGTATATGCAATATCCACTAAAACCATTCACTAATTATATTAACAGTGTTTACTAAGTTCACTTCATTTTAAAATTTAAACTTTATATTTTATTATAAATATTTTAAAATTCTATAGATATTGATGAGTTTTTAAACTTTACATGTTTATACCCTAATAATTGTATAACCACAATAAATTATTATTATTATATGTATATATATATATATATATATATATATATATATATATATATATATATATATATATATATATATATATATATATATATATATATATATATATATATATATATATATATATATATATATATAATTGTTGATAGGTATAGTATTTTGTTAAAAAAACAGCTCTTGTCTGCTTAAGAGTGATCAATATTTCTTTGTAAAATAGATCGAATTATATTTATAATTGAAATGAAAAAAATACAACTTTTTTATAGAACTATTAGTTTCATGCCATTCGGCAATCATTCAGCCATATTATTCAAAATTTACAAAATAAAAAACTGTTGAAAAATATAATTTTTTAGCGTTGCAACGGTATTGCATGTTGTTTCTAAATCCAGATTTTTTTAATGCATCTTTATAAATAGGGGCAGTATTACTAAAAATTGCTTCGCTGAAAGAATTGGTTGATAACCTACGCTCAATTGAAGTTGGTAACTGTTTTAAAATATTAGGTGGATGGTTGGAACTAGCGTGGATGTAATTTAACGTACTATTATGTAATTTATCGTACTATCATAACGTACTGATAGTACATTAAATTACATCCACGCTAGTTCCAACCTATTTATAAAGATGCATTAAAAAAATCTGGATTTAGAAACAACATGCAATACCATCCATATGTAGGCCCAAATAATACTAATAAGCGAAAGAGAAACATCATATGGTTTAATCCTCCGTTCAGCAAAAACGTTGTTACCAAAATAGAACACCTTTTTCTTAAGTTAGTTGACTTGCATTTTCCTCTTCATCATAAGTTCCACAAGATATTTAACAGAAATACAATCAAAATTAGTTACAGCTGCATGCCCAATACTGGATCAATAATTAATTCACACAACCAAAAAATATTACGCAACAAACCCACTGCTTGTGTCACCAACTGCAACTGTATTAATAAACCGTCATGCTCTTTTAACATGCGGTAGTGGTGTAGTGGTAGAGCGCTCGCTTCATAAACAAGTGGTTCGGAGTTCGATCCTCACCACGTCCCTGGTAGTACCGCGCTCAACTCGTTTCTCCGCGCAGCGGCCTTGTTCATCAAGGTTCGTGTTTCGGAGTTATAGAGTTGAGAGAGGGTTATAGCCACAAATAAGTAGCCTCCTCGTCTATAGTGGCCTTCTCGGCCTTGAGGAGGTGAATTAAAATAAAATTAAAAAAAAAATTAAAAAAATCAATACTTATCTATATTCATTCATATTGGTATCAGTGAAGACTCATTCAAGATAAAGTTTGCAAACCATTTAAAATCATTTAACGCTACTAGATATGAAAACGATACAGATTTTTCCAAAGAAATATAGAAACATAAAAATTCAGGTATTATGCCGTTAATCAAGTCGAACATTATTAAAAAGTGTCAATCATATAATCCATCAACTAAAAGATATAATCTTTGTTTATACTAAAAGTATTTAATTATCACTTATGATCGGAATCATTACTTAATAAAAAAAGTGAATTGGTTTCTTCTTGCAGGCATAGAAAAAAATTTCTGCTTTCACAATTCGATATTGTCTGACGTAAACTTGACATCAGATACCATTGCAACGCTAAAAAATTAAATTTTTAACGGTTTTTTAGTTTGTAAATTTTGAATAATATGGCTGAATGATTCCCGAATGGCATGAAACTAATAGTTTCATAAAAAAATTGTATTTTTTTTTAATTTAAATTATATATATATATATATATATATATATATATATATATATATATATATATATATATATATATATATATATACATATATATATATATATATATATATATATATATTTTTTTTAATTATCTTTGCTTCCAACAAGGCTGCAAGCAACCATTAATTAGTATTAGAAGTTACTGGAAGAGAAAAGATGAAATTGTAGAGCAAGACAGACAACTTAAAAGATTGCAAATTATATGAATCAGGAAAGCAAGATGAAGGAAGCGAATTCCAAAGAACTGAATTCGACAAAAAAAACTAGACAAATAAGAATTTTTGGAGCACTTAGGAACAAAAGATGAGACTTAATTGAATGACAAGTAACACGAGAATGAATTTTTGTAGATGGCACCAGAGACGCTCTTTCAAGCAGTGCCCATTACAGTATTTGTAGAAAAGAGAAAGAGAAGCAACATTACGACGATGTGACAAAGGGTGAAGGTTGGCTGCAAGAGCAGGTCCAACTATGTTTACAATGCGCTTTTGCACCTTGTCTAAAAGAGAAAGGACATCATTAGAAGATCCGCCCCAGATATGGCAACAGTATTCCATACAAGGCCGGATTTGAGATTTATAGATAGAGAATAGTATCCAGAGAAAGTGACGAGCTCGATAAAGAGAAGCGACTTTAGCAGATGCTAATTTTGCAACAGATTTGATATAAGGTTTCCAAGAAAGATCAGAAATAAGAGTTAATCCTAGAAGATGAAGGGTAGGAGACTCATCGAGTACATTACCATTCATAAATATAGGAAGGTCTAAATTATTGCGATAATGATTGGCCGAAAAAAATTGAGTTTTATCTGAATTAAAGTTCACCAGCCACCGTGAGCCCCATGCTGTAGCAGAAGTGAGATCCTTTTCAAGCTCAGATGCCCCCTGCAAGCAATCAGAGGGAGTTGGCTTCTTATCGTGACAAGAATAAATGGTAGCATCATCAGCGAACAGTGCCACCTTAGATGAGAGAATATCTGGAAGATCATTAATGTAAATTAAAAAGAGTATAGGGCCAAGGATTGAACTTTGAGGAACCCCTGAGGTTACAGAATAAGAAGAAGAGTGCTGTCCATCAAGGACAACTTTTATACTACGATTGGAAAAAAAGGATTCAATAATCTTAAAGATGTTTCCAGATACACCATAAGAAGAAAGCTTATGGAGAAGACCAGCATGCCAAACTTTAACAAACCCTTTATAAATGTCAAGAGCAATGGCCTTAACCTCTCCACCTTTATCTAAATAAAACCTATCAGTTCTTACTGATAGCAAATCAGCCGTAGAACGAGAAGATCGAAATTCATATTGATGATCAGAAAGTAGGTTATGAGATTCGAGATGAGAGATTAAGTGTTTGTTAATTAAAGATTCAAAAACCTTGCTTAGGATAGGAAGAAGACTTATGGGACGGTAGTTAGACAAATCGGATCGCTCTCCAGAATTTTTAAAAACAGGAATAACAGATACTGCTTTCCAGCAGACTGGAAAACAAGACTCTGATAAGCACTTGTTAAATAGTTTTGAAAGGATAGACGACAGCTCTGGAGAAAACTTCTGCAAAACTATAACCGGTAAGTTGTCTAAGCCGCAAGCTGTATAAAAGTCTAAGCAGGAAATCACTTTAGATACAGAAGCTGGAGTGATACGGATGTCGAGCAATGGATCAACCTGTTTGACGGCTATATCAGGTAGAACGCAACTTGTGGAATCAAGAGATGGTATTGATGAAAAGTTCTTGGCAAACAATTCAGCTTTGTCTTTAGGTGATGTGACAAAGTCTGAACCATACGAAAAAGGTGGAACAGACTTGCCCTTATTATTGATACTATTAAAGATTCTCCAGAAGTCACGAGAGCCTAATTTTTGTGATGAAATACAAGATTTTATAATCTGAGAATAGCGGGCTTTGGCGTTAGACAAAATTTTTTTACAATGGTTCCAGATGAAACAATTCTCCAGAAAACAGATGTCTGTTTTCTGGAGAATTGTTTTGCTAATAGATATGGAAGTAATGGTTTCGATTGGCAATCACAGCAGCACAATGTGAGGAAAACCATGGAGAAGAGTGAGGCTTGACCTGGAATCGTCGAGAGGGAATAAAGGATTCCATGCCAGCCTGAACCCACGAAGTTATGTAAGAAGCACATTTGTCAACAGGGAGACGAAAGATTTCTACCCAGGGGCCATCACGAAGAAAATCACGGAAAAAGTCCCAGTCAGCTTTAAGGTAGTTGTAAGATGTACAATGATACGGGGATTCTGATGGTAAAGAAGAATGAGATAATAGTTTTAGAGAGACCAAACCATGATCAGTAGCACCTAAGGGTGAGTGTGGAGGAACTGAGCACTGACTAGGATTAGAAACAAGACATAAGTTGAGTAGAGAAGGTAAATGATTTGGGTTGTCTGGAAAGCGAGTTAGAAAGTTGACTATTTGAGTTAGGGATTGAGAAAGGCAAAAGGTGTGGGCCTTAATGCCTGCAGAGTCACTGACACTAGAGCCAACCCATTCAGTGTGATGAACAAGTCACCGACAACAACAATATTGGCTGATGGATAAAGAATGAGGGCTTGGTCAATATAATTAGAAATAACATCAAGAAGAGTGCAGTCTTGAGATGAAGAAGAGCGATATAGAACAAAGAGAAAGGTGATAGAGTGAAGTGGTGCTAAACGAAAGCACATAAAAGAGTAGTCTGTGGATTCAAACCTAGTTTCCCGACATATAGGTGAATTCTTACGAATGTAAATGCATGACCAAGCATGTGACTATTTTAGTCTTTAAGAATTAAAGGAAGATAACCATCAACACTAAGATCACAAGATGAGACAGCTGAACTCAAATTAGTCTCACAAAGAGCAAGTTGGTCTGGTGAACTTTGCAAGAGATAAGACTCAACAGAAGAAAAGTTATTTCGAAGACCACGAATATTGGTGAATGATAGGTTTAGCGAACTTGGTGATGACTGTGGCTTTTTGTGTTTTATAGTTTTTGTTACTTTATTCATTTTTAAATTTGTTAAAGAACTTGACTCGAAACATAGATAGTACTCAGTACACTGTTTTATAGCTCAAGCAATTGCCTCATTTCCACCAATAAACCCTAAGCCGTAACAGGGCCGTAAGGGCTCTAATGTGGCCTTGGCAATGCACACCAAAAGTACAAACAGGGACACCATCTATGCACAGTATGGCACTGTTAGTACTCTGATATTTTTCAGCTGTTGATGAAATCAGCCTCTCTGAGAGCTACCATAGAGAACGAGAAACCTGACTGCCAGTCGGCCTTAGAACCATAAAACTGAGTTTTAGAGCTGTACCCTCATTTGGAGATAATAGAATGAGTTGCAAAACCCATGAATTGAGTCAAGAAGATCCAGCGTTAAACATCCTAAACTGGAAACAATGTATTAAAAATACATCTGCGCCAGCCTAATAGATGAAAAAGGGGTGCGAGGCTGGTCAACAGATAGAATCTGTTTACCCCTTAAGTCTTTGCCTAGGAGGCCTTTTACAAGACAGCAGCCGGATGCATTTAACATCGGCCCAAGATGAGTATTTTTATCGAGACACCATCTCTAGCCTTTATTTAACCAAGAGCCCCAAGGCAGGGGGTGTTTTATGTCGGAGTTTGCATCTCCTAGTCTTTGCCTAAAAAGGCATATCCTACAAGGCAGCAGGACATGAAGCAGATTGCTACCAGTAGCAGGATAAACCTGACCTGACCATTAATATATATATATATATATATATATATATATATATATATATATATATATATATATATATATATATATATATATATATATATATATATATATATATATACATATATATATACATATATATATATATATATATATATATATATATATATATATATATATATATATATATATATATATATATATACATACATATATATATATATATATATATATATATATATATATATATATATATATATATATATATATATATATATATATATATATATATATATATATATATATATATGTAATAGCTATTTATATTTATTGTTTAGTAACATTTAAATACAATTATAATTTAAGTCTAGTTCAATGATAACAGTTGCATCATAATTTCTAAAATTTTGAAATTCAAATAATTTTTATTTACTCAACTCAATTTTTCAAAAAATTTAAATTTTTATATAAAATAAAGTTAAAAATATAAAACAAAATATTAAAAAAAATTAATTTAATAATAAATTTAAAAGTTAAGTTATATCGAATATATTTTTAAAAGAAAATTTTTATTAAATTGTGTTCAAAGAAAATAGAAGGTCACATTAAAATGTCAAGGTTTTTTTTTATTAATTCTGATTTGCTCTCAACAAAGCTGCAAGTTGAGAGTAACTAGTAAGTTTGAAAAGAAAAAAAGGAATAGAGATATAGAGCAAGGAAATGGTTGACAGAAGACTTGAAAAGTTAAAGGTTATATGAGAAGGTTAGATATATTAAGGAAGTTACCAAGTCAAGAGTTTTTAGGAAAAGGAAAAGATAAATGTAAATATTTCTTGAAATTTGTTTTTCACCAAAACTTGTTAAAAAAATTTATACAAAAAAAAAAAAAAAAAAAAATCAGATATTTAGAATTTTATTTTCGAATATTTTATTTATCACTTTGTAAAACAATAACTTAAAAAAAAAAATCATACTTACTAGTGCACCACGTACTAAGGAATACACATCATTAAACTCCAAAATATCTGTCATTTCTTGATTTTTATTGTCGAAAATTGATTATGACCTTGAACAATAAATAGACAATAAAATAAAAAATTTTCAATATTGACAAACTTACTTTTTTTATTTAAAAAATGCACAAAAGCTAACTTTAAATGAATTTTAATTTAATACACATAAGACACAAAAATAATTTTTAATAACTTTATTCAATAATAGAGATTGAAAATGTCATGCAATAACTGACATAAAGATGGGGATAATTTGCCATTTTTGCAATAAGTTTAACACATATAACATAATAAAGATAACTAAAGTAAAAGCTTCAACTTCAATCATTTCGCTATATAATAGTAAAAGTAGAAAATATAAGAATGATAACATAGTAGAAATTAAAATATAAGATTTCCAGATTATGTACACACCATATTTTTATTAATACAGTGAGGAATTTCATCAAAAATATATGTAATTTTAATGAGAAATAAAAACACATTTTAAACCAACAACATATTTTATAAGCACGAAACTTCAACAACATATTTTATTATATATCACGAAAAAGTAAATCATATACTCAAGAGTAGTACATTTATCATATACAGGAAAATGTAAAAATCCACACAGCATTAAAATAAACAACAGTTTTACTTACATGTAAAAAAAATGCTTTTTACAACTAAAAATGTGCTTAACCTAGCTTTATTTTTATTAAAAGTGATTAAAAACAAGATTTAGTATGCATATTTAAAATTTGGTACTGATTTGAAATTTCTTTGAATTTGCCAATATATCAATGTTTGCCATTTATCAATTGATTTTGAATGAAAATATACTAATTGAATGCAGATATTTACATTTAGCTAAAATATCCTAATACAATACAATTAAATGTTGATAAATATAGACCCATGTGCATTAGGTATGTGACTTTTTGGTAAAGTTTTGGTATCTTCAGTTTCCAATATAAAAAACAGACGAACTTTTTGTACGTCTGTTTTTTATATTGGAAACTTCTTAGTAACTAAAATGCCATTGGTTTTATTTAGTTTTTGAAAAAGGTCACCCACCATGATCCTTGATTACCCACTGGCTCCCATATATCAGTGAATTTTTTTTTCTTCAAAAGTATATCAACCTAGGTCCCAAAGGAACCAGAATTTTATATGTATATATATGTATATATATATATATATATATATATATATATATATATATATATATATATATATATATATATATATATATATACACTTACTAAAGTGTGTTTTGATAAGTATTTACTCACTTTTTCTGCTTACCTTAAGCTATACCGTTTTTTTCGAAAAAGAAGAAAAAACGAAGAATGATGAATAAAACAATTGCTTCCCCATCCCAAACCCTCAGTCGATGTAGCAGCACTCCACTGCAAGTCAGGCTATTTGTCAGTCAAGGTATGCACTGAAGCCCCCAGCAGCAGGATATTTCAGTATGACATCAGATTGCTTACCTTAGTACACAATACTCTTTGTGCATATATATATATATATATATATATATATATATATATATATATATATATATATATATATATATATATATATATATATATAATGGTAAGCTGGTGAGAATCAGCTTGTCAAAAGTAAAACATCCTTTTTAAGTCAAAAAAAACTTGAGTTAAGTCAATAATTATTATTTCAGAGCATCATTATGTTAAATTTAAGACTGACATAAAGTGTAAGTTTATGTAAAGATTAGCAAATTGGCGAATGTTTTTTTTTTTTTTTAGTTTGTAGGGTTTTCTCTACGCTAAATCTAATAAAACTTTAACTATCTCCAATTGAGGAAACGTTGACTTACACTACTCTGATTCTCACCAGCCAAATATAGACAGTGTTAGACACCATACTTTCCCGCTAAAAAAAAGTTATCATTTTAAAGTGATATTTTTGCTCAGCGCATTTAAAAGTATAAATTTTGCTTCAATTTTGGCAAAGACTTTTGACTTTTAACTTTTGACTTCAATTTTGGCAAAGACTTTTAGCAATTTTAGCAAATAGCAAATTATGAAAAGACAGGTAATAATAAATTAATGAGCATAAAGCAGAACTGAGTATCGCTACCAAATATTTGAAAGCGCTACCGTTCAATCCAGATTGGCGCCCTAACTTATCAAAAATTCCCTTAATTATAGATGAAGGACCTTTTTTTTATGTTGCTTTTTTTTCATTTGGCACACCTTGGATTTGTCGCCCGGATTTGGCGCCCCTTGGATCTGCCGCCCGGGACAAACTGTCCCTTACGAGCCTTTCGTCCACTATACTTGTTTATCGTAGCATAAACAAGTATAGTGGACAAACATTTTTTCTCTAAATCCCCACTATATGAAAACGTTTTATATAAGTGTATAACTTTATATTTAGTTTTATAATATAAAAGTATAGTATAAGTAGTATAGTATAAAGGTTTATAAACATATTATAATAGTTATAAAAAATATATAAAATAAGTTATTATAAATTAAATTACTTATATAAAGTTATAACGTAATTTTAACTTATGTAAGTTTTAAAACTTAATAAGTTAAAATTACGTTGACTAAATCAAAGAAACTATTAGACAAGATCAGGGCCGGCGCGAGTAGGTGTAGGGGGGGTGTGCCATTACAACTTTTGCCGACTAAAAAAAAAAAAAAAGGCCTCGTTTTCCAAAATTTGCCAACTGCCATGACGACATTTGCCGACTATCTAGAATACCGACTAACCTATATCGAAAGGGTCGACATTTGCCGACTACCTAGTCTAAAAGGGTCCAATTTGCCGACTAAAAATCATTGATGGAGAGGGGGGTCACACCCCTCCCCCGCACCTCCCTATCGCCCCGGCCTTGATTGTGGCTCATCTTTAAAATCTATAGCTTAGTTTTAAAAAATTTTCCTTTCCTATCTATTACACTTTTCACAACAGCAGATTCAGAAATTTTTCTTGCTGAAATAAATATTTTACTGTGCTTGTTGAGATCACGACAGTGTAGGGTAAGGCGGGGTGAATTCGTCACGAAGCGAATCCGTCACTTATGCGACTCAGCTTTAAAATAATAATGCATAAAAACTAAGAAATCTATTAACTAGGTTTTTTCGAAACTTTTTCAACTGATATTTGTAGAATATTACTAAATAAATGTTTTATATATTTACCTCCGATTATTCTTTAAATATTGCAAATAAAAGTTGAAAAAATATTTTTCTGCTTAAATGCCTATCGTCAAAAAATTATCAAAATACGCAATGTTTTGACCACAAAGTATATATTTTTTGATTGATTGATGTCAGTAGTTTTTAAATAATAATTTAAGTTACAATGTTTTTGCCTTTGGAATCGTCACGTAATGATTGTTAGCACATGCTCAAATGAGGGGCAACTTCGTCGTTGAAGAAAAGTTAATACGAAAAATAAATTAGGTTGTTTGTAATAAAATATTACATCCGCCTAAAATATCACATCCCCCCACTGATCTCTATAATAACTTATTATAGAGATCAGTGCATCCCCCATTGAAAAAACGAAAACGAGATTGCGCGTTCAAGTCATTGCACTTAGAAGTGTATCAAATACGTCCGAAACATTCAATTATAAACAATATAATTAAAACGCAACGAGATTCATAAAAACGTTTTTCTACTAATATACTATAAATGAAGTTAGCATAAAATGGTAATATATTTTAAATTCTTATTTATAAAATTTCGATCGTAATGTATTGTGTGACAATATTATAGAAAAAGTTTACACATGAGGGATATAATACTTTATGTAATAAAAATAACAATCGTTTGCAATATTTTAGAAGCCTGCATAAGGGGATAATTTTAAATAAGAATTCCAGTTTCTTTTTGTGACATATACAGAAATAACAAGTGGTGGATGTTATACTCTATATACCAAATACTAATTGTTTAAAATACTTTATAAATTACTTAGGGGGATGTAATACTTTAGAAGTAGACATCCGGGGGATGTTATATTTTAAAGTAAGAATTTCAGTTTCTTTTTGTGGTACATACAGTGAATTTTTCAAGAATTTCAGTTTCTGACATATACAGTGAATAAACCGAGGGGATGTGATATTCTAGATATCAAATACTAGTTGTTTGAAATGTTGTATAAATTACTTAGGGGGATGTAGTATTTTAAAGGTAAACATAGAGGGAATGTGATATTTTAAGTAAGAATTTCAGTTTCTTTTCGTGGTACATACAGAATTTACAAGTTATGAATCTTATATTTTAAACACTAAATACTAACCGTTTGAAATGTTGTATGAATTACTTAGGGGGATGTAATATTTTAGAGATAAACATAGGGGGGATGTAATATTTTAAGTAAGAATTAAAGTTTCTTTTTGTGACATATACAGTGAATAAACCAAGGAGATGTGATATTCTAGATACCAATTACTAATTGTTTGAAATATTGTATGAATTACTTAGGGGGATGTAATATTTTAAAGGTAAACTTAGAGGGGATGTAATGTTTTAGTAAGAATTTCAGTTTCTTTTTGTGGTACATACAAAACTTACTAGTGATGAATGTGATATTCTAGGTACCAAATACCAATAGTTTGAAATATTGTATGAATTACTTAAGGGGATGTAATATTTTAAAGGTAAATATAGAGGGGATATGATATTTTAAGTAAGAATTTCAGTTTCTTTTTGTGACATATACATAGAATCTACAGGGGGATGTGATATTCTAGGTATCAAATACTAATCAATTGAAATATTGTATGAATTACTTAGAAGAATGTAATATTTTAAAAGTATACTTTTAAAATATTAGGGGGGATGTGATATTTTAAGTAAGAATTTCAGTTTTTTTTGTGGTACATACAGAACTTAGAAGTGATGGATGTGATATTCTCGGTACCAAATAGCAATCGTTTATTATATTGTATGAATTACTTAGGGGGATGTAATATTTTAGAAGTATACATAAAGGGAAATGTGATATTTTAAGTAAGAACTTCAGTTTCTTTTTGTGACTTATACAGTGAATAAACCGAGGAGATGTGATATTCTAGATACCAATTTTTAATTGTTTGAAATATTGTATGAATTAACTAGGGGGATGTAATATTTTAAAGATAAACATAGAGGGGATGTGATATTTTAAATAGCAAATATTAATTGTTTGAAATATTGTATGAATTACTTAGGGGGATGTAATATTTTATAGGTAAACTTAAAGGGGATGTAATATTTTCAGTAAGAATTTAAGTTTCTTTTTGTGGTACATACAGAACTTACAAGTGATGAATGTAATATTGTAGGTACCAAATACTAATCGTTTATAATATTTTGTAACTTACTTAGGGGGATTTAATATTTTAAAGGTAAACATAGAGGGGATGCGATGTTTTAAGTAAGAATTCCAGTTTCTTTTTGTGACATATGCAGAGACTCCACAGGGGAGATGTGATATTTTAAGTACCAAAAATAAATTGCTTGAAATATTGCAGAAAAATACTTAGGGGGATCTATTATTTTAGAAGTATACATAAGGGGGATTGTGATATTTTTAGTAAGAATTTTAGTTTCTTTTTATAGTACAAACATAATTTACAAGTGATGGATGTGATATTCAAGATAGCAATTACTACTCATTTGAAAAATTTTATGAATTACTTAGGGGATGTAATATTTTAATTATATACATAGGGATGTAATATTGGGGAATATTTAAGAAGCCTATATAGGGAGATTTGGTATTTTAATTTAGAATTTTAGCTGTTATTTGCAAAATATGCAGAGATTACATAAACAGTCTTTTTTCATTTTCTTTTAGATTTAATTGAGCTAACAAATTAAAAATGTTTTATTGTTCAATCAATTCATATGTATTGCCTCCGACAAGTTAAAGTATTATAACAATACAAGAAGTCACTAAAACTAGGAAAAAAAAAATTTCACCCTTTTTTATCTATAAGGGCATAAACATTTAAATTGGTTCAATTTATGACAAAATTTTGAAGAAAAAGAAATGACTGCAATTTCAAAGTTTCATTTATGATTTAATATATATATTTAATACATTTGTATATAAATATGTTCACAACAAAATAAAGTTTCATTTCTAAAAACAATGCATCTCATACAGTACCATCGATTTAAATGCATATATCACATTTGATCTAAAAATAAATATTTAATGAACATTTTTCTATTTGAATATTTCAAGTATTTTTTTCTATTTGAAATTTTTATTAAAAAATAATTAAAATATATTTTATTACTCATTTAATTTTTTTTTTTGATTCTTTCTAGTTTTTGGACAAATTTCACTTCCACAAATGCGACACAAACTATTCTGCCAACTCTTCTGACCTATTGATTTAATTTTTCATCATTTTTTTTTTGTCTTTTTTATAGATATCATTTAACATTAAAGTAGTATAAACATTTTCAGTTCTCTAAAGAATCTCACAAATCTCCTTTATCTCTCTTTCTGTATGCATTAACTTCTTCATGTGGAAAGACACGCACAAATACTTCTCCATTTGTATAACTTTCAGCAAACTAAAATATGTAAGCTTATATATATATATATATATATATATATATATATGTATATATATATATATATATATATATATATATATATATATATATATATATATATATATATGTATATATATATATATGTATATATATATATATATATATATATATATCCATTACAGTTAAGACTCTTAAAGTTACCTTAAGGCAGAATACTCCAAATGTTATACCTTCAGCTTGTATGGCATGTGGTAATGTTAATATTTCAAACTTTTCTGAAACACCATATTTTTGCTGTAAGTAACAACTATTGTATAATAGTAAAAAAATTATAAAAGATGTAAATACAAATTTTGACATAGGAATATCTAATAATAATAATATCATACTTCCATTTCACTTCTTCTTTTTTGATGGAATTTGTCTGTTCTCCCATAGGGTCCATAGAGTGAATTGTTTTATTACCTGGTTTGGTTATCTAAAACACAAGTGATTTTCAAAATCAGGTTCAAAGTTAGGTTCCCTGTAAAAAAATGGGGAATCTAACCTATCACTAAAAGTTAAACCTTTTGTACTTAGAGAAATAAACTTTTTCAAAAAACAATTATACTATTTTACATACTGCAAGCGTCCAATGAAATTTTTCCACCATACAGCATATTAGCATATCTTGTTTAAAGCTCTTTCTATGAATATATATATATGTGTGTGTGTGTGTGTGTGTGTGTGTGTGTGTGTGTGTGTGTGTGTGTGTGTGTGTGTGTGTGTGTGTGTGTGTATAAATACTCTATAATTAAATTAATGAATCATTAATTTTTTTAGATAAAAGTTTTTGAATACCTTATGCCGTCTTCGTATTAAATCAGTTTTTATTGGCAATTCATCCAGTGAGAGTAGCCCAGCTGGCTACAGTACTTCGATTCGATTCTTCAAAGCATCAATAAATGGAATGGCATTCAATATATTGTTTTATATTTAGAATTCAAATTTTATTTAAATGAAGGCAAATTTAAAAAAAAAATGCAATAAGTGTTTTTTTTTGTTCAAAAATTTTATTATGAAGTACATTGATTAATCATACTTTTTCTTTACTGTTTACTAATATTTTGAGATAAATATTAACAACTTCGTCACTGAGACATTCGTTTAAAGTGTTTTGTAACAAATAATCGTATACCTTGCAGCCTCCTAAGACTTTTACAGGGTTTTTAATATGGATACATTTTATTATTCCGTGACCCGTGACCTATTTATGAAATGCAATTTAAGCATAATTTCATCAAAATTTAAGCATAAGCCTTTTATCTAATAAAATAACGACTATTACATTTATTGAAGATTACATGTTTTAAAACTCTTCACATAATTTTTCACCAGGTGGGATGTTTAAATTAATTATTTTAGTTAGTTTACATAAAAATCTTTATTTCATTCGTGCGCCACTGAATAATACATACCTTCTGTATCGTCAACTATGTAGCTTTTTTTCGTATTTACTATCTCTAGAATATAAAATGAATAAAAACAAATTAAAATAAAACCCTAACAATTATATATGAATAGGTAAGTTTTAATACATACCTTCACTATCTTCAACTACAATGGTTTTTATTGGCTTCTCTGCCTTCTCTAAAAAACAAGCGATACTTTAAAATAAAATGCTAACATTTATAAAAGAAAAATTAACTTTTTAAATCCTACTTTTACCATCTTTTACTACAAAACTATTTTTTGTATCTGCCACTTCTAAAAAAACAATACATTACAATAAAAAGGTAACGCTAACAAAATGTAAAAGTGATTTATTATTATATACCTTCACTGTCTTTAGCTGCAAAGGTTTTTATAATTATCTGCCTCCTCTAGAAAATAAATTATAAATAAAATAAAACGCTAACAATTACAAATGAATAAGTAAGTTTTTAATTCATACCTTCACTATCATTAACTTCAAAGCTTTTTGTTGGTGTCTCTCCCTTCTCTTGAAATAAACCATAAAATAAAATAATGATAAAATATATGTTTTAACTATAAATTAAAATAAGAAAACGAATATTTTACCCGAGTATAAATCAAAAAACAATAAAAATTGTTTTCATATTAGTATTACCCGTAGAAAGTTAAACAAATATTAGGCTTGAAGAAAAAATAAAATATTTTATAAATAGAATGAAAACTTTATTGAAGTAACAGGTATATCAGCAACTTCTACAGAGTAACAATATTAAAAAAAAAAACATTTCTCTTCTCAGCGTTTTTTAAAGACGTTTAAAAACCTGTATTATGCGTAATAAAATTTAGACGCCTTTGAATAGCTAAGGGTTTCTGTGTCAAGTGTCTGACAAAGATGTCTTTTAAACTAAAATAAGTGAACATAAACTCTCAACCTCAACTAATATGTTTAAAAATATAAATTTATTAACTTCACTTTGTTTTAGCTCATTCTTTTTCTAGCGCTTATCTCTATTTAAACCTTTTAATTTTCTTAACTGATCAAAACGAGCTTCTTAATTCCCAAAAAAGTTATGCCAAATATTGTGCGGCCGTGGCGCAGTGGTTAGATTGTATGCTTTATAAGAAGGAGATCCAGGTTCAAAACGAGCTTTGGACATATTTCGCGTCATGGTAAGGAAGGAGGCGTGAACTTCCTGGTTAAATGCACTTCCGCGGTGCTCTGTGAGAAGACCGTTAGGACTTCTTGGGGTACCTAAATAACAAATTTAAAAATATATATATATATATATATATATATATATATATATATATATATATATATATATATATATATATATATATATATACATTATAAATAAGGACAATCTGTGTGCAGATTTTTTTGTTATATTTATTATGGCTACACGTTGGTACTGGGCTCGTTGAATAAAAATTTAATCAATCTTTATTATAACAATTAATATAGTCAATTTTGTTACCTAATTCAATCATTTAAACTAAGCCACCCCGCTCTCGTCTTTTTTTCAAATTTGTTGAATTCAACACTATAAATCTGTCATTATAGAGATGATTGTTATTTGTTAGTGAAATCTTCTTCGAACAATCCTGCACTTTAGCATTAGCTAAGTGCATAAATACTATTGAGCAAGTATTATTTTTAGCATTAGCTAATAGCATAAATACTATTGAGCAAGTATTATTTTTGCACGCTATTCTAGCGTGGAAAAATAATACTTGCTCAATAGTATTTTTTTTCAAAATTTTTATTTTTACAAAAATGTTGTGTTAACATTTGATGGAATATATATATATATATATATATATATATATATATATATATATATATATATATATATATATATATATATATATATATATATATATATATATATATATATATATATATATATATATACAACAAACCGTTTATGTACTATGTCTTTTCCATCTTTTACAGTACATTATTCTTTATCATTTTAGTTCAGTATGATATTGGATGATTCTAATACATGAAATACATGACTTTATATTTTATTGTAATAAATATAAGTTAATTTTTTAACTGCCACTTTTAAAAATTTGTATAATTTTAATAATTGTGAACTGTACTAAATATTATTAACTTGCCTCAACAGGCTCAATAATCACATTATATTTCCATACCAAACCACCCAAAGAAACGTTAATATTTAAAAATAGTTCTTCAAAAATGTTCTTTTATTAAGAAAAGAAGCTTCTATTATTCAAAAAAAGTATCTGAAGAAGTTATAACTATCCCGAAACCTTACGCCTCAGCAACCATAGGTGGACGTAATAGAGAAAAATTTTAAATTATGGAATAGAATGAAAAAAGACAAACCGTAATTATTTATTTTCCTTCAAAACGTTTTGTACATTAAAACTAGTGAAATATTTATGTTGTAAGATATGAAAACATTTAGAATAAAAAATTATTTTAATTAATTTCGTTCATTTTAAATCTTATGAAAACTTTAATTCCACCAAAGTTTTATATATGACTTCGTTGAACAATGTCGCATGTTTGAATTGTTAGCTGAACCGTATCTAAAAAAAATAAAATATTAAATTTAAAAAAACTTTAAAAAGTTAAAAACCACTATAAATATTAAAGTTTCTTGATTTTATTAAAAGCTCTTTAATTTTTTTATTTATTTTTTAAATAAATATAAAAATTTATTATAAAGATCTCCCCATCAGAGGAGGACCCAAGAAACTAAAAACAGCTAACAATATTTGAGATACATATCTTACTTAAATTACACATCCACCCTATGCAGGCGTCTAAAATATTACATCCCCCGAAGTAATTCTTAACAATATTTCAAACGATTACTATTTTGTGTTTTAAATATCAGATTCCTCACTTGTAAATTCTGTTTGTATCACATAAAGAAACTGAAACTTTTACATAAAATATCACATCCCCCCCCCCCTCTATGTATAAAATATCACACACACACACACACACACACACACACACACACACACACACACACACACACACACACACACACACACCCTCACACACACACACACCCTCTATGTATTACTTCGGGGGATGTAATATTTTAGACGCCTGATTAGGGTGGATGTGTAATTTAAGTAAGATATGTATCTCAAATATTGTTAGCTGTTTTTAGTTTCTTGGGTCCTCCTCTGATGGGGAGATCTTTATAATAAATTTTTATATTTAATTAAAAAATAAATAAAAAAATTTAAATAGTATTTGATACCTACAATATCACATTCCCCCTATTTATTCTCTATATATGTCACAAAAAGAAACTGAAATTCTTACTTAAACTACATATCCACCATATTCAGGCGTCTAAAATATTACATCCCCCTAAGTGATTCATAAAATAATTCAAACAATTAGTATTTGGTAACTAGACTATAACAACCATCACTTGTAATTTCTGTATAAATAACATTAAAAAAACTGAAATTCTTTCTTAAAATATCACATCCTCACTATGTATACTTCTAAAATATTACATCTCCCAAAAGTATTTTACAGTATTACAATATTTCATTTGTGAGTTCTGTATGTACCACAAAAAGAAACTTAAATTCTTATAATATCACATCCCCTCCATGTTTATCTTTAAAATATTACATCCCCCTAAGGATTTCATACAATATTTCAAACTATTAGTATTTGGTATCTAGAATATCACATATCCTCGGTTTATTATCTGTATATGTCACAAAAAGATAAAATAATTTAAACAATTAGTATTTGGTACCTAGAATATCACATCCGTCACATGTAAGTTCTGTATGTATCACATAAAGAAACTAAAATTCTTTCTTAAAATATCACATCCCCCTTGTGCATACTTCCAAAATATTACATCCTCCTAAGTGTTTCTTTACAATATTTCAAACAATTAGTATTTGAAGTTTAAAATATCACATTTCCCCTGTGGAGACTCTGTATAAGTCACAAAAAGAAACTGAAGTTTTTAATTAAAATATCACATCCCCTCTATGTTTACCTTTAAAATATTAAATCCCGTAAGTAATTTACAAAATATTTTAAACGATTAATATTTGGTACCTAGAACATCACATGAATCACTTGTAAGTTCTGTATGTACCACAAAAAGAAACTTAAATTCCTACATAAAATATTACATTCCTTCTATGTTTACTTTTAAAATATTACATCCCCCTAAGTAATTCATGCAATATTTCAAACGACTAGTATTTGGTATATAGAATATCACATCCCCTTGGTTTATTCACTGTATATGTCACAAAAAGAAACTGAAATTCTTACTTAAAATATCACATACCCCTTATGTATACTTTTAAAATATTACATCCCCTAAAGTAAATCTTAACAATATTTTAATTTATTAGTATTTAATACCTAGAATATCACATCCCCCTGTTTATTTTCTGTATATGTCGCAAAAAAAAACTGAAATTCTTACTTAAAATATCACATCCCCCCTAATGTAGACTTCTAAAATATTACATCCCCCTAAATAATTCATACAATATTTCAAATGATTGGTATTTGGTACCTAGAATATCGCATCCATCACTTGTAAGTTCTGTATGTACCACAAAAAGAAACTGAAGTTCTTACTGAAAAAAATACATCCCCTCTAAGTTTACCTTTAAAATATTACATCCCCCAAAGTAATTCATACAATATTTTGAACAATTAATATTTGCTATTTAAAATATCACATCCCCTCTATGTTTACATTTAAAATATTACATCCCCCTAAGTAATTCATACAATATTTCAAACAATTAGTAATTGGTATCTAGAATATCACATCTCCTTGATTTATTCACTGTATATGTCACAAAAAGAAACTTTAATTCTTACTTAAAATATCACATCCCCCCTATGTTTATCTCTAAAATATTACATCCCCCTAAGTAATTCATACAACATTTCAAACGGTTAGTATTTAGTGTTTAAAATATAAGATTCATCACTTGCAAATTCTGTATGTACCACAAAAAGAAACTGAAATTCTTACTTAAAATATCACATTCCCTCTATGTTTACCTTGAAAAAATTACATCCCCCTGAGTAATTCATAAAATATTTCAAACGATTAGTATTTGATATCTGGAATATCGCATCCCCTCGATTTATTCACTGTATATGACGGAAAAAGAAACTGAAATTCTTACTTTAAAATATAACATCCCCCGGATGTCTACTTCTAAAGTATTACATCCCCCTAAGTAATTTATAAAGTATTTTAAACAATTAGTATTTGGTATATAGAATATAACATCTACCACTTGTTATTTCTGTATATGTCACAAAAAGAAACTGGAATTCTTATTTAAAGTATCACATCCCCCCTATGCAGGCTTCTAAAATATTGCAAACGATTGTTATTTTTATTACCTAAAGTATTATATCCCTCATGTGTAATCTTTTTCTATAATATTGTCACACAATACATTACGATCAAAATTTTATAAATAAGAATTTAAAATATATTACCATTTTATGCTAACTTCATTTATAGTATATTAGTAGAAAAACGTTTTTATGAATCTCGTTGCGTTTTAATTATATTGTTTATAATTGAATGTTTCGGACGTATTTGATACACTTCTAAGTGCAATGACTTGAACGCGCAATCCCGTTTTCGTTTTTTCAATGGGGGATGTGATATTTTAGGCGGATGTAATATTTTATTACATGTTTCATCATGCAAATTTTTAAATTACCGAGCGCCGTTTAAAAGAAAAACAAATTGTGATCAAAATGCGCTCCAAAGCTTTAGACATTTATAAGAGAAAGGCTCTTCAGAATATATTAATTTACAGTTAGCTTTTAAAACTTTTTGAAGTTTTAATTATAAACACGACTTTGATGTGAAACATGTAAACAAACTTATTATAATGTATAGTCTGAAATATATATACAGTAAATAATAAGTATATAAAACATATATGTTATATGTTTTTAGGCTATCCACTGCCTATTTTTATACATATTTAAAATATGTATAAGTATTAAATATTGTTAAAATATTATTGAAATTCAATAAATATTATTAGAATAGTTAATATTATTTACTAATTTTACATTAAAATAAGACTTTTATTATATATTATATAGCAAAGATCTTATTCTATTTTAAAAAATATATATAATATTATACTATTTAGTTTAACTATTATATATTGTAAAAAGTAA